AAACTTCGAGCAAAAATAATTGTATTTATATGTACGAAAATATTTGGATTCCGTGTTTAACAGAATTGCTGTTATTGAACTTAAATTAATATCAAATTCTTTATTACCTAAAATTAAACTGTCGTCTTCGCTGAAACATGCCAATTTTGCATCTTCTATTGGAAGTAATGTAGTAAGCATGGCCATCAAATAAAAGGTATTCATAGTGAATGTACTCATCCCGATTTTCGTTGATAGCTTACTTTACATTTGACTTTGTTACTCAAATCTGTTAAAGTAGTTCGTTCATGAGATCTCACCCACGAAGTAATGAATTCCTCGTCAAAACCGAATTGTCTGAGAAATTTTTTCTCAAACGCCAGCATTAATTCTCCCTGAGACTTGTCGTATTTAGACATATCAACTTCCAGAGAGGTAGCTTTCGATATGTCTAAGTTGTTCTTTCTACAAATATCTTATATTTTTCCGTCCAATTCTTCTAATTACATTCCACTATTGAATACGATATGATCTTTCAATAGAGGCACTCCCTTATCTGCAAGCTCTCAGAACATAGGACAGTAGTTTACGTTTACACTTATCACTATAAGCTATTGTTTGTAAGGCTGAGGAAGTGTATGAGGCAGATGTATCTAATTTAGGTTTAACGTTGGATTTTATCATAAATTTGTATGTATCGTGTGGTTTAATGAGATTGTCTTCGGGCTGTTCTATTCGGGTTAAAGTTTCCCCGTTCTGAGTGAGGAGTCAATTTCATACCGAAACGCTGTTGGGTAGTATTTTAAATTTTTTATACAAATTAAGAAAATGTGAAGCTTCAGGCTTAAGTAGCGAATTGAAACGTTTTATCATGATTTTGGATAACGCATCTATGTCACAGAAGCCGCCGAAGTCTGGGACGGATTGGTTGCGTTTGATCATCGCGAGTAGAGATTTTATTTGTGTATTGGGCCTGTTAATTGGAACTGATGTTCTTAAGTTAGGTCTAAGCTTATCGAATTGAACGGTTTTAAAATTATTGTATTTGTACTCTGGATTAAAAATAGTATCCTCCAAGTTCAAAACGATATCGCTTTCCTGGACTATCATTGGATCGAAAGAATAGTCATATACGGAATTTCCTGGTAAATTTTGATCGTAGAAAGTTTGTTATAATGAAATATCAGACAATTCCAAATTGGGAAGTAAAACAGATGTTCTAGTGGCAAATTTATAATTTTTGTGAGTCATCATAAGGTATTAATGTGGGGAGATCGTACTCTCTATATTTTTTTGTAATTGCTTCCGTGACATTGTTAAAGTTGTTTAGAGGTTGTTCGATTATTAGTAAGCCTACCCCTTCCAATTTGGCAAATGATCTTTTCTTTAAGGACTTGTCTCCTGAAATTACGAATTGTTTCCCAGAGACCATGGGCATAATATCTCTTTCTAAATCTTTCGTATCAGTAAGCAACTCAATTCTATCATTAACAAGAGATGATATTTCGGAGTCCGGTAACAAATTAGTGATTATCGGCGATTTTACATCTGACTTATTTTTCAAATGTTTCTTTATAGTTGCGTCATGAAAGTGTTTTGTCTTAGAAATAAGTTTAGACAAAAAGGCGTCGTAAACGGGAGTACAATATAATAACGATTATTATCCCGCGAAAAGGCGACTAACGCGTGTTCTTCGGAAGAGTAAATCTCCTCCTTCTTTGTGCTTATACGTACAAGACAAGCACACAATATTGGAATAGTCAGGACATAAACTTGTTGCACGTATTGTACATCTTTCGAGTGCTTCTATTACGAGCTCTACCGCAGTCATGGCAACGACCAACGTAATTCCTCCGTATCGATTCTAGTGTCGATGGCTGGTTTTCTTGTTGCGGAAGACCCAGAAAATCTTTTACTTTGAAGGGCGGACTTCTTGGCAACGTTATTTTGACCAGTATTTGCTGAGCTAGGGGTTTCATCCCAGCCAGAGCCAAGTCAAGAATGTATGCATAGTCCGTTGAGGACACTGAAGTTGATCAGATCATAGAAAATTGTAACAGGCCATCTTCTTGAGTTCTTACAAACGCCATAAAATGAGCACATTTTATCTACTAAGAGTTGATTCACACCGTTTTTGGTACGATTGTAGTATGATATTATTTCTAGATAACTGTTTATCACCTGCATTGGCATCAATTGCTGCATCGTTATGTATTGTCGACATCAATATTACCACTTAGTTAGGTTTTGCCTTGAGACACCAATGTACAAGGTGTGTGGAAACTAAATTTTGATGAATATATTGGATTTCTTTTTGTCATTCCCTACAGTACTAGTCATGTTGGTTCCATTTTCTAACATTTGTTTAGCAAACTTGCAAAGAAGAAAACCAATTATCCATGGTTAACTTGATGTATCTGCCAAGAACTGGACGTACCACTTTTATAACGACTTCGCTTCCTTCGTTACTCAAGCGAAACGGTTTTTCAGGTTATTGGCTTGCGTATATTTCCAAGTTGTTTTTTCATAGGAGAGGTGGTAAACGAGCAAACAGCTCGCCTGATGTTATGTGACTACCGCCGCCCATGATCAACTGCAACATCAGGGAAATTGCAGGTGCATTGCCGGCCTTTTAGAAAGGAGTAAGCTCTTTTATTGAAGGTCCCCAGGTCGTATCGGTCCGGAAAAACTGAAAATAATATAGCTCCAGCCCCCGACCTACAGGAGTCTTTAATTTTCTTCTTTTCTGGGTAATATGTAGAATAATGCTTCTTAACTTCGCATATACTTCTCTTGTGCCGAAACCGGCCATTCCCATTGCTTGAGATATTGAGATCATAGCAGCGTCTTGCATCATTTTATTTTTTAAATTCGGCGATTTAATATTGTATAAACATCCGTGTTTCAATAATTCTGGACAACTTTAATGTTATTGCTATCTGATCACTTCGCCATTGCAACCGGCAGCTATTGTTTAGAGAATCTCCACAACTTGTTTCTTAGAATTTATACTACGCTACTTTTTGAAAAAAAAAATATTTATAGAGCGAAAACCGGGCCTGTGATCACTCATGAATCACGGCAATTATTTTAAAGATCAATAATTGATAATTTCAGTTCAAATTTTGTTTTAATTAGATATCAAAAGGAAATTTTTTTCTTCCTCAAATTGGATTGCAGGTCCCAATTTCAAAGTAAAGAGCGATAATCAAGCATGAGCTAAACACAGTATTTATAAATTTTAGATTTTTTTCATAAACTTCAAACGTCTTTAAAAAAATTATCTTAAGATACATGTGTTTAAAACATATCTTATTAGATTGCTTAGATATGACTTTACTAGAATAAAATAAAAAAACATGTTTTTATTGTTTAACTTGGCCATAAATAATAGTTAATTAGAAAATTTTGGGCATTTTCGCTAAAATCATAAAGATTTATTTAAAAAAATGCTTAGACTTCATCTAAGATTAGCATGGCTTAAATTGTCTATACTAGCGTTCCTTGAAATGTTCTACTGCCTTATTAATAAAAATTGCTTATTCCAAGCTTAATTCGAAGTTACACTTGGACTAGCTCAGGGATGGCGAACCTTTATGCGTATACGTGCCAATTTTCTGGAATAATATTTAATGACGTCGCAGCCGTGCCATCAAATATTCTTGACTTTGTGATCAGTGGAAAAATAATGTAAAAAAACAATATCTACTCAAAGCTCTATATTTACCAAAAATATAATTACAAGAGCAATTAAAAATTAGTGCGACTTCTGTTGTTGCAGATTGGACGATAATTGACTTATATTGGGGTTGTACGATGTTACTTTTAGCAGAATGCATGCTGAACTTGATACATCAGTCAGTCTATTTCTAACAGAGTCTTTGATGTTATTCATCTCTGAAAACAATGACTCGCAGGCATATGTTGATGAAAATACAGATAGAATAGCGTGAGCCAGCTTCTTTAAACAATTAAATGTTTCTGGCAACGCATTCCAGGTTTCTAAAATTTTATTATTGGCATCCTTCATTCGGTATCAAATTTTTCCGATTATTATGTCGCCCCCTCAAGTCTCCTGCTATAAGCCCAGTGCCTTCTTTGTCCATTTTTTTGTAAATAGTTTGTAGCAACATATCACTAATACACAGAGTATCAAGAAACATTTTTTTGTAAATAGTTTGTAGCCACATATCACTAATACACAGAGTATCAAGAAACATTTTTGACGTGACAACGTCTTATAAATTGGTTTGCCGGGTGACACTTCAAGAAACTGCGTTACGCTCCGCTCACGTTATGCGCTCACAATGAGAGCGAGTGAGAGGCACGCGTCCCTTCCACTCGGGCATGGTTAGCCCGCCTAAGAGCGAGAGAGACAGACATAAAAAGTGAAAGGCACGCGTCCCTTCCACTCGAGCACAGTTAGCCCGCCTAAGAGCGAGAGAGACAGAGCGAGAGAGAGAGAGAGTGAGAGAGTCGTTGTCACGTAAAACTTTCGCCCGTATACCGACTTTACAGGCAACCAATATTTTTTTTGTAAATAGTTTGTAGCCACATATCACTAATACACAGAGTATCAAGAAACATTTTTTTGTAAATAGTTTGTAGCCACATATCACTAATACACAGAGTATCAAGAAACATTTTTTTGTAAATAGTTTGTAGCCACATATCACTAATACACAGAGTATCAAGAAACATTTTTTTGCAGACCCTTTTTCTATCGCCATCTTCATATAAATAATATTGAAAGGACCAGTGGCCCCGTGAGTGTCCAGTAACTGATGCTGTTATTTGTTTTCGTGGAACTCTATCTACAAATCTACAAATAAAATCAGCTTGTCTTGTGTGGTCGCCCAAACCCCAAAAATCTTTGAAAATTGCATGTCTTGTCGTTTCCATTAATCTTTCTTTGCACTTCCTAGTACAGGCATTATTACAACCACTCTTCATAACTTTCTTTGGGACTAAGATTCCGCTTCTGTTTACATATTCTTCGCCCGAATTTTTCTTTCGCTTACTTAAGTTGCGTTTCCAGTTTTCTCGATTATGACCTCGATTTCTACCCGGATTAGTTTTTTTCGGAACATTCCTTTTCACTTTAATGGCTGTCCCTTCGGGAGTGGTAATATTTTCAGATATGTTTGTAGCTGTTGGTATCTCTTGTAAAGGAATATTATGTTCTGAAGAATGTTGAGAACTATTTTTTGAAACATCCTGGTCGGAAGGGATATATTCCGAAAAGTCAGGAGAAAATGGTTCTTTTCTACTAGATGAGGTGAAGGAATCTGGGTAATAATTTACAAGCGCATTTTCCCGCATACTATTTTTGAATGAAAGTAAGTCTTCACCGCGTTCGATAAAATAGCTATTATCTTGTGGTGGAATAACTTTCTGCGTAGCATGATCATTTGCCTTGGACGAAGTCGAAGCTACCTCTTGATCTAAAATGTAAAGTACCAATTTTAACAAAGTTAATCTTAGCAAGCATTTACATCTGACGAGGAGCGTCGCAGCGCAATGTACATGCACAAGTGATCACGTATAAACGTGTTTTCGCGCCAGACCTGCATAAACCTGAACCGAGTAACTCAACAAAGTACTCGACGCTGTAATAAATAACAAATCCGAGTGAAACTCTGTATTCGGTTACTCGGTACAACTTTAACTCGGTACATTTTTAATTTAAACTGACTGAACGGCTCCGATGCGCTTACCAATACGTAGTTATTGCTAACGCTGATAATTTACACTAAAATACGACTTACCAGTTGAAATTCCACTTAATGATAATGCCAAATTTAAAATATTTTGGCTACGCTTCATCTTATTACTATTATCTTATTACTTAAAAGCCGAAATAGTCACCATGTACACTTCTCACTTCTGTATAGTAAACCACACAACAACACTAAACTTCTAAAACGCGAGTAAACTGCTAGACGACAACATCGCAATTCGACATAACTTGTCATAACATGATAAAAACTAACATAAATATCCGCGCAACAACATTGTAAGTCAACATACAATGCAGTTGCATTACGTTTCATAGCCATAAACCCCAATTTTGTCATGTACAAAAATTGTATATAATGTTATAATGTTGTTGTATTTGATTGACTTGCTACTCATAATATTTTCTATACATTGTAAATCAAGTTGCAACGATATTGTTGACAAAAAAATACTTTTTTGTTATGTTACAATACTTTGACGTTTGTTTATTTTAAAATCGAATGGGAGCAGAATTACAATGATTGTACAGAAAAATTGTATTTTTTTTTACATAGTAATATTGTAACGCAATTTATGGAAAAAAATGAGTTACGATGTTATTGCATGGAGGTGTCGAATAGTTCTAAATAACAGCAAAATATGTTTGCCAGATGTTTTGCTTTGTTATTTTTTACGGTCTTAAGTCTTGGGTCGTGCTGGTTTTGAATTTTATTTCTTAATAATTTATAATGATTCTTAATCATAAACGTAATTTTTAATGTTTCTTTAACACATTATTATTGTTTTTTTCCTTGATGATATTAATGGCTTAAATTAATACATACAACAATTTAAGATCACCAACCGAAACTAACTTGGCTCGTGGAAGTCATAGAAGCCAAGGGGTTCGTACTGGAGGTGGGAGTGGACCATCTCAAGTTAGGAGGTATTTTAGATTTTTTGTATTTTATAAAAACTAGTTTCGTATATTTTGTTTTTCTCACTTTATATAAAAACATTATACGTGGTAGAACCATGCTGCAGTTATATTAGTAGTATAGTTGTAGCACGAATAGATCGGCTCGACCGGGGAAGGTTGGAACGATTTGGAAGTGCCTGGAATGTAACAAAAACTTATGTATTGATGGTTGTTTTATGCAGTATCACATATAATTTATTATTTTTTATTTATTTATTTTAGTTTTCATTTAGTCCTTTTTTTATTTTTTTTTATTGGTCAATAGCGATGTATCGCATGATACATACTTCGTCGGAGTCAAACGAATCTTCCATTGTTTGTGATTCAATATTAGAGCACGACCGGCCTTGACAATTCGTGCATGCCAAAGAACAAGACAGTCTGACTTTTTTGCAACCACATTTAGCACTGCATCCCTTTTTGCAGTTGCAAAAAATAGTGTTCAGCAGTTTTTCCGGCGCAGGTGGAAGTAAAGTTTGAACTGGCTCTAATATATTGTTGACCAACTTCCAACCCCAGTCTGTAGGGTCTAGCTGATAACCAAGCCGCACTTGAACTTGGTAATATACTCGAAAAAGATGTTGGTGAGCAGGAACTGAGGTTGGAGGAAGACAAGCTACTTGAATTTGTTTTTTATTTTTAGTATTTTTAACGAAACATGCATATCGATGCTTATCTAAACAGGTAGTTTTTTTAGGAGCTCCGTACATAGAAAGAAGAAAGCGGATGCCGTTGGTAATAACTTCTTGTTGAGTTGAATTACTCTTTTTAAAAACTTCAGCACATTGAATTAAATATTGTTTTTCAAACATTTTGAAAACTGCTGTTTTACCCCTCCTGTAAAATGCAGATGTCGTATCACAGCCAGTTATTTAGTGTAAAAATAGTACATGATCTTGACACTTTACAAAAGTAAGTAAACTTTTTGATGAATATATATCTGATTGATACTGAGCTTTTCCTGGTTTTAAGAAAAAAATAGTTTTTTCAGTTGGCTTTCGAGCAGTGAGTAATACAAGTAAGTCAACATCTTCACCAACAACAATAGTTGTATTTGTCAAATTGAATTGCTCTATTGCTGTTTCAATAATCAATACATCAGCATCATTATTAGCTTGTTTTACCAATATATTTTCAGCCGTAAACTTTTCTTTCAACATTGAAATGAACCGAGACTTGTTGTGGGTATTAGTAAGAAATTTCTGTTGACTGGTTGGGACTGTCATAAGTTCGTCAAATAAAATATCAGAAGATGAAAATGTTGCTAAAGTTCGACGACATTGTTCTGCAGCTTTGATATTTCTCGTGCAATCATCATAGCCATCAAATACGACATTAACTCTGGAACCAAAATGTCTACGTACATATTGAACGTATTTATCTAAGATAAATTTTTTTTCGTTGAATGTTTCTTCGCTATCCCACACAACGCGGTGTAGTAAGTATCCTCCGTCAATGATGTATGTCGCATTAGTGTTGTTAATATCAATATTTACTTTTTCAAAACAATCGTAAATGGTAGATTTTTGTGTTTTGCGCATCCCGATGTCATCAAATAACGATAAAGGGTAGGGAGCTAATTCATATTCAAAATATTTTTCTATTTCATCTTGAAATGATGCAGTAATACTCATGCGTTGGAACAATAATACAGGGTCAATAGGTACTTTTTCTTCATGAAATTTATGGAACTAGTCATAGCTAAGAGAGGAACAACTTTATCAGCGCGTTTTAATTTAATATTATTGAATGTCAGTCCTGTCATTTTTGCCATAGAAGCAAGTCCAACTTCACGAGCTTTATAACAATTAATTTTACCGTCACCAACGACACCACTCGCAATAGAAACGATTTTGTTAACCTCTGGAAAAGGATCATGCGTTGAGAACCACTCTAAAAGTCTTCGTATGTCTCTAGCATCTTTTTTTACTAGTGAATCACTTGCATCAACATGCTGCTCGGTCGTATCCATCCTAACATTTGCGATATCTTCTAATTTGTCACAAACTGTATTCATAGCACGCATACTATAAACCCATTTACTGATGACGCTCTCTTTTGTACTTCTCCCCCGAGCAATACCTCCATCTGTCTTCATAGCTTTCATCATAGAATGCTCGATTACCTTGTCTGTCTCTCTGTCTTGTTTAAGTTCCACAACTTAATTTGTCTGAACGTCTAACTGTAAAAAAACCTCCTGAAAACTTTTCGTAAACTTCAGGATCCATCAAATTCTGTAATTGTTCCGTATCCTGCAAGTAAAAGTGTGCAGATTTAGCATAAGGAAAATGTCCAGACGCGTGAAAATCAGGAAGCATTTCTTTGACGCAGTTTAAATGAGCTTTCCAATCCCCCATACGCTAAGCTTTTAGGAATTCTTTAGCAATTGAAACCATACAAAAATATTGAAACCAAAGTTTTGCAGTTGGTCCTCGTTCCTCATATTCTTTTAGTTTTTGATTAAATTTATTAAGTAAAGCTCCAGATACTTCATCGTCATTTTCAATATCATTATATAAAAGAGTATTACCTAATATATGCTCGATATTTATGATTAGATCTGTATCCATTATGTTATTCATTTCAACTTCTTTTAATATTATAATTGCCAAAGTAAGCTGAAGTAGTGTATGAGCTCGAACAGCTCTTGCGTAAACATGACCATTCAGCATTTTTTCTAATGATTTTGACGCATAGATCTCTGCTAGTACTTCTTTCATGCCGCTTCCTTGCATAATATGACCAATTGCTCCCATAAAAGACATCAGTAAATGAAATCCTCCAAGTCTGATGATGATTTTTGATAATTCAGAGCCCTCAGGTGCGGCTGATACAATTTCTCGAGCTTTAGCATACAGGGGCTGGTCGAAAGTCACGTTGCATACAGTGTGGCCATACCGTTTTGCATTCTCTAATGCACAAAGTAAAGTCGTATAGATAGTATTATAGTTACTGGCTGGTTGGTGAATAAATGGTAAAAATGAAATTTGATTATTTGTTAAACGTTCAATAAAACCATTCCAACCGGGTAAAGACTCATTTTTCCATTTTCCATAAAACCATACTACATCAGCTTTTTTGAGAAACGATACTGTTTCAGTTCCATAAACAAAATCTTTAACATTTATTTTACTTTAGCCTACTACACCGTCATTTGTATAAGTCTGTATCGGGAGTACGTTGTATGTGTTCTGAGCTTTGAAATCATTTGCTGAAAGAGTTTCTTTTATTCGTGGCATAGGTTCTTCTAGTAAAACTGAATGTTTTGGAGTAACAATTTGAATAATACCCATTATGTGGAGCGTGTTATTGCCGTCTAGCGTATTTACATTAATATCAGAATTATCTGCAACGTATTGAATAAGAGTGCCACTTTCTGGTGGTAGGACATGAGGAGGACGATGGAAAACTGCTGCTGCCTCGTACATTATTGTATCATTATAAGAAGCACATAAACCGAAAGCCGAAAAGATAAAATAAGTAATAATAATAAATAATAAGACGTTTAGACCCGAACCTTCGATGAAAAAAAAACTGCGAGGCCTAATTGTAATTTAGATTTAAAAGACCTTGGTCGAACAGCAGTCATGATACAGTGGCAAATATTTGTGCATATTAATTTTAAATTATCTAAATCTGATCGTTTATTTTTTAAAATCACTCGTTCCACAAGATATGTCAATGATTCTGGGAATTCATTATTTAAATCTTCAAACATGCGACTTGGTGGAGGGTAGTTAGAATTATCAAATACTGCGGTTGAATATCTTCGCGAATAATAGCTGCAGCTGCGTCTAGGACTCTCAATCGTTCTTCTGTTTTATTAATTTTTTTAAGGCAACACACTAAGCATACGAATGTTAATGCTCCCGATTTCTCAGTGATAATAAGTTTATCACCATACTTTACTTTTAGTCGTAGCTTAATCGTTCTGTTATCTAGAGTCGTAGTTTTGCAAACCTTTTGTAATTCGTTCAAAGTGAACTGACAGTCATCGCTATTTTCAATGTAATTAAATATTTCCTCCATTGCCAAATTCGTATCTTCGTCTTTAGGACGACCCATTTTAGCTCCAGTGGAAGGTTTTAAAAAATTAGCATAGCAATCTCGATGATACTTAGCTTCAGCAGCAACTAAATCATATTCATATTCGACTCAAGCAAGAACAGCTTTTGCTAAAGCATCGTCACGAGCCCGAGCTGTTTCCAGAATTGAATCTTTAAATTGAAGTGTACTTACTTGGCTGATTCGACGCCGAAAATCTGAAGATTTTCTTCTTTCACTCTCTTCATTTAATTTCTCGCCACAAAATAAGCATAGTTCTTTGAAACAAAAAGCTGATTCACTGATACGTGATCTAGTACGAGGAGGACTTGCTGTGGATGTACTGGCTTCTTGTTCTTCACGTTGTCTTTTATTAGCTGCAGCAATAGAAGACTTTTGAGTATAATTTTTACGGCAATTTTCATGTATTGTCACAGATTTCTGATTTTTGAGATATTCCGAAAAATCATCAGCTCTTTCGATACTTGCATTAATTAATGTCTTCATACCACGTTCAACAGTAACAACTTCACTTTCAGTTAAAAGTTTAGCACAAATAAAACAATATTCAGACATTTTTAATATAAAACTCAAAACAGCACAATATAGGTTAGGATAAAAACGTGTTTTCACTACAGAGTGACGCTCAAGACTAACGGTATTTCATTTATTGTAGCAGGTATAAGACCCTAGCTACGCACACAATAGAACAAGAGACAGATGTCTCGAAGTTACACTGGCTTAAAGATTAAGGGACTGGGTTTCATTTTACCTGATATTCTTATAGTTAAAACTTATGTATATTTTATATTGTAAGTATAAGTTACAATGACCGATAGAAAAATATTTAAACATTTAATATATTATATAAAATATAACAACTCTAGATGTATATACGTTGCGTCCTCATGACGATAACAACTTTTATAACTTTTTGAATCGTTATATCTCAGAAACGGTGGCTCGTAAGAAAAAAAGTATTGATACATTTTTTATAGATAATTTTATGATCTACAATTTTTGTCTGAGGTACTTTTATGATAAAACTTACCGTTTTGAAAATCGCGAAACTCATTTTTTTGACCTTTGACCTTGAATAAAATTTTTCCTTACAGGGGAATGATGGGGAACTTCTAGACATTGTTTATATTTTGAACAATTTCACTGAAATTCAGCTTGTTGAGACTTTATGTAACTTCACTCTCATTTTTTGGTCTAAATTGACCGGACTAATAATCAAAGATTTTAAGCTTTAAACTAGGAGTAAAGTTAATCTTGCCCAAGTCTGTGTTTATTAATAGGGCTGCTAGCGTATAGTAGAAAATTGAACAATAAGTTTTCACACCTTATATTAAATGAAAATAGAATGTAGTCCGATTCTTATATAATAGGATAATGTTAGAAGATAATTATTTTTTAAATTGTAATGTTGCAGATTATTACATTAAATATTAAAATCAGTTGTAGGTATATAGTACAGTGTTAATTAATTTTTATTTTGTCTTTTTTAATCATTTGATAATAAAACGAATTTAATGGTGTATTTATCTGGTAAATTCATCCTTAGAAGTACGAACCCTAAATGATCTTATTGAACCACCATTTTTATTTTTTATTTTTATTAAACCATAACATTTTTCAAGGGGCCGGGAAGAAACCGGTACAGTTACAGTTTTCCTATTTAAGAATAACAACATCATCAACTTTTCAAGTTCGGTCTGATTTGTTACCATTTACCTCTTGGCTATAGTTCGGCAATGTAGTTATTATTGAAAATGTTTCCAAATCAATTCCAAAAAAAAAAAAAAATTTTGTTGCTCTTTGATATGTCAATTATAATAGAGATATTAATAGTTACTTTGCAACTATCCGCTCAATAAAATAAAATGATGTGTCTTACCTAGTTTGAAGAACTCTTCAAACTAGGTAAGACACATCTGCAAACTGCAAAGTAACTATTAATATCTTTATTATACTGGATTTCCGCAAAGAAATGCCTGATTCTATTAATTATCTTAGTCCATTATCCAAAACCTCCGATAAGTTGGTCATAGTAGTTCTTTTTAGGAAATGCGAGGGAGTAAAGAGTACGAAATCCGCAAGTGTATCTTTAAGCGGACTAAAAGGTCGGGAATTAAGGATTTCCTCAACGTCATCATCTTGTAATGTCATACGTCATCTTGTAGCATTACCTAAATGACGTTTTTACAGGGACTTGCCTCGTAAAGACCACCCATATACCGCAAGAGGAACAGTAAAATACCATTGAATTGAGTTTTTCCTACAATAGTTTAATATTTCACAATAAGATTTGTCATACTTGAATAACTTGTATAACTCATTTAGTTCATGATGACCTCCTTTAAAATTCCTGGCTTTACTCATCTTTACTCAGACAAATTTGTTTTGTATTATTACATAAAATGGCCCTATTTGGATGTTACCACTCAACAAACTTTGTACAAATTGTACAAAGTTTAAAGACAAAATAAAAGTAAGAAATTAAATTATAATGGTTTATTATAAAAAAAAAAACAATACTAAAAATATAACATTGATGTATTGTATAATTACATAAAATGCTTTTTTTGCATATATTTTTATAGTAAAATTTTTATGTTACTATAAAAATATAAAAAATATATGCAAAAAAAAAAACTTTTTGCTATAAATTAGCGATAAGAGACATTATAACATATAAGACAGAGATGAGATTGTGATGGACAACTGGGACAGTAAGTGGTAACTTTTGTTTCATTTCTTGCCTGTAATGGCGGCTGTACACTCGACGAGAGCACTCGCCATGCCTCTCGCGAGCCTCTCGCACGAGAAAGCGCATTCACGAGTGTGACCTTGTACATTCAGTTACGGTGAGGGACGGCGAGGAGATGGACGCATGATTTCGGACGGATGGATTTTTTTCTTTGTGGTAACGATGCGTGGGCTCCCACAAAATAAGTTCACATTGATAAATTCAAAAAAAATTGAGTTTGCTCTCTTGGTTTCACATGATAAGTTTGTGATAGTAGGAACCAAATATACTGCACGCTAAAACGTCTTGCGGTAGACTAAACGAAGCACGAGTGTACAGTGACGCACTCGTGTCCACTCGCAAGGGAATGCGAGGCCCTTTGACTCGCGCACCAAAAACCGACACGAGCGCGAGAGCACGCGTGGCGAGGCAAGGGAAGGCAAGGCTCAGCGAAAGTATCCTGTACACTCTCGTCCTCGCCTTGCCTCGTGGGCCCTCGTCAAGAGTGTACAGCAGCTATTATATTTCTATTGTATTGACATTGTTCTTATAAAAATGTTGGCAATTCTTGCGCACATCCTTGGCTTTGCCTTACTTGGATATAAGACGATGTTTTTCTCTTACTGGTCTGTGTGTACTGGTTGCGCTGAGCTTACAATCTTCACTCCCAAATATCACGTTCACAGCGGCACTAATTTATCTATACTTTTCTTAACTGCGCTTTGGGCGTTTTGAACCATGTCCTAAACCAGACATTGTGGCTTCTAAATCCTCACTGCCCTTACGAGACCTAAATCGATTTTTTTGGTATGTAGTTAAGAAAAACATGGATTTTTGTCTTTATCCTTATTAACAATGACTTGATACATCTAAATCTGCCCCCGCCCGAAGTTGAGTTAGTTACCTGGGTCATCATCATCATCATCATTACAGCCCTTCACAAGTCCACTGCTGAACATAGGCCTCCCCCAAGTAATGCCACAAAGCACGGTCCTGAGCCACCTGCATCCATCGACTTCCTGCATATCTTACCAGGTCGTCACTCCATCTAGTGTGGGGTCGCCCTACACTACGCCTACCGGTACGAGGCTGCCACTCGAGAACCTTTCTTCCCCATCGGTTATCGGTTCTTCGAGCTATATGGCCGGCCCATTGCCACTTCAGCTTACTAATCCGTTGGGCTATGTCGGTCACTCTGGTTTTACTGCGGATATCCTCATTTCTGAGTCTATCACGCAGAGAAACTCCGAGCATAGCCCTCTCCATAGCTCGCTGAGCGACCTTGAGCGTTCTCATACGGCCAGCAGTAAAGGACCACGTCTCAGATCCGTAAGTCATCATTGGCAACACGTACTGGTTGTACAATCTAGTTTTTAGAGATTGAGGTATACCTGACGAGAAGATATGTCGTAATTTCCCGAACGCTGCCAGCCGAGTTGAATCCGTCGATTGACCTCTTGGTCGAAGTTGGACTTACCTAGTCGGACTATTTGTCCCAGGTAAACGTACTTGTCAACAACTTCGAGCATAGTGCTCCCAACAACTACCGGCATAGGTGTGACATGGACATTAAACATGATCTTTGTTTTGTCCATGTTCATCTTAAGACCTATCCGTTGGGAGGCACTATTGAGGTCATTGAGCACAGTGATTAAGTCCTCCAGCGATTCTGCCATAAGGACTATATCGTCGGCAAATCGAAGGTGAGTGATGTACTCGCCATTGATGTTAATACCGTATCCTTTCCAATCCAGTAGCTTGAAAACGTCTTCCCATGCAGCGGTGAAGAGTTTCGGGTATATAACGTCACCCTGTCTTACACCTTCCTGCAGTTGGTTAGGTTTCGAGCTCTGGTTCTGTACTCGTATAGCCATCCTAGCCCTACTGTACAAACACTTCAGCACTTCGATATACCGACAGTCAACTTGGCACCGCTGAAGGGACTGTAGCACCGCCCAAATTTCGACGGAATCAAAGGCTTTCTCATAGTCCACATACGCCAGGCAACCAGTCCACTCTTCAGTCTTCTGTACAATCTGCCGCAAGATATTTATGTGGTCTATGGTACTGAAGCCTTTTTGGAAACCGGCTTGTTCGGGAGGCTGGAAGTCGTCGAGTCTGCGTGCGAGACGATTCGTAATGACTCGAAAACAGCACGTAGACGCGGCTCAGAAGGGAAATCGGTCTGTAGTTCTTCAAGAGAGCGTTGTCGCCTTTCTTAAAGAACAAGACCACCGCACTTCTGCTCCACGCCTCTGGAGTAGTGTCACCAGGAGGACGGAATTGAAGAGCTTCTTGAAGTTACGTGGGTGGTCTAAAACATTTCCGACCTAACAAAGATAGAAGACACTTTTTCTTTAATACTATTTTTAATATTCTAAATAGTCTTCTTGTATAGTACGTATCTAGGGCAGGCGAAAAAATGGACACTGACTTAAAGTATTATGTTATCATCGAAACAAAACGATGGGTATTGCTCCCATACATTTCTTTATAGATTACGTATCGTTATGCGCTAAGCGTGTCTCATGGTACGGGGTAGGGTGAAGGAAGCGGTCATTCAGAGATAACAAACCTGTTTCGACACGATTTGCGGTCCCCCGCCGTGGGTATTTGAGAAAGCGAGTGGAGCAGAACTCATTCCTCATTCTGATTTAGAATGTGCTTGCCTGTAGATAGTTAGAGATTTAAAATTTTGGGTTATAGTAGTTGTTTTAATTTTTATTTACTATTATAATTAATGTAAAAGTTTGTTTAAATGTGTAGATGTTATTTTCTCTTGTCATCATAAACATTAGGTACTTGTAAAAAACACTATTCAGTTTCTACTTAGGGGTCCTTTTGTCTTAAGTTATTACCTTAATTAGCTAACCTAACAACATCTTATTGTGACCACATCAATATTAAAAATCTTTTATGTTTTAAATAAATTGATTGCCTTGGCAATCGCTCTAAACATTCTAATTTAATATAATATATATTACTTGTGAGATACATTGTGTTTTCATGCGATGGCTTCTACTTCTTAAATACCAACAACGTACCTATCTACGCCCATTATTCCATTATATTATACATATACAGGTACACGATTCATTCCCTGCAAATGTAACTTTATAATTCTATATATTTATATGGGATTACAAAGTTATTTATGCAGTTAGTGTATCTAGAAAACTGGACGGAAATCGCAAAATATATTTTGATTTTTCCTTGATTTATACACTAAACACAAGGTTCATCACAATTAATACGCCTCCCCATCTCTCCACCACCACTGCATGCAGCGTTCCTCTTACTATTCCCATCACCAACATTTTCCATATGCAAACCTTCGACTTCAGACAAGGGAATGTTACTCACTGTTTCAGGTGCTGCTGACTCGAAGGTTTTGCCAAAATTAATTAAATTATTGTACACCGAAATGTATTTTTGTTTTAAATGTTGTTTTAAATTTGTAACACTCGTTTTAAACGACAACTCTCGACGACAGTAATTACATGTAGCAGTTTTAAGGACATCAACGGGCTTTTCAAAAAAGTTCCATATTGGCAAATCACTGTTCCTTCTAGACATTTTCGTCTGTTATTATACCTACACTCAAAACAACAACACGATATCTCACTCTGTTCTTACTTGCACAATTATAGCTAATAAATATTAAGGTGTCCTATCACTGTTTATTTACACTAAAAAGCACAAAGCAAAATAATATTTACGTATATTATATTACGTGAGCAGCCCGAGATCGCGGATTAGCAAAATCGCAAGCGGTGCGTAAAACGATTACTTACTCACTTACGCGACCGAAAGCAATCTCTATCTCTAGCATGCGACGACTGGCCGCCGCGATGCTATTGCTTTCTTTCATGCTTTGCGATTTTGTGATGCGCGACTGACAGAGACAGAGAGTGCGATGTAAAAAAGCAATAAGCAAATAGCAAGAAGTCAGAGCCACGATAGCATTTGCTATTTGTTATGTATGAAAAGCACGGTGCTTTATTTTGCTATATGATATATTAACCACCACTAGTGTATGTAATGATACAAGGATTTAAAAAAAAACAGGAAAAATTTTGGCTACCCCGATGATATCGCCAAAGGTCAATGTACTTTTTTTCGCTTGCCCTAGAAACGTACTATATATCTACATACTTCTCCCAGCGATACTCCCATCTCTCTAACCAGTCCAAATCGTACTCGATGAGGGGACAAAAAGAAGTCGCTTGGGGCTAGATCTGGTGAGTGCTGGTAGATGGTCAAGCAGTTCAAAACGTAATTTGTGGATTTTCGCCACGAAAACTGGTGAGGTGCGAGACGACGCGTCGTCATGATGAAACACGATTTTATTTTTCGGCAAATGTTGCCGTTTTAATGCAATTTTTGCCTTCAGTTTGTCAAGTGATGAGCGTGGTATGCTTCTGTAATGGTTTTGCCTTTTTGAAGATAATCGATTAAGATAACTCCATGACTATTTAAAATAAACGTCGCCATCACTTTCTCAACCTAAAAAAACAGTTTTTGATTTTTTGGAGCCACTGCTTAGTGGTGAATCAATGTTTCATCTACAGTAATTAATCGGCGTTAAAACTTGGATTTATTGCGCCTAAACTGTGCCAACAGAGCGTTGAATATTCATTTGAACACGTTTTTTGGTATATTTGGTAACGTGAGCAAACACGGCACTCAACGTGCTGACATCTTTCTCATGGCTAAATTTTGATTAAATATTTGACAAACACATTCTTTGGACATTTTCATAGCCTCCGCTATTTAGTCTTCTTTAATTCGGTGGTGGTATAGAACTTTAGCGACGTTATCGTCAGTAGTGCAGTTTTAGTGGACGTCCCAAACGTTCATCGTTTCCCAAGCCCAAGCTCTTACGGCTACGTTTAAATTCAGCTGCCCAAAATTTCACTGTACTAAATGATGGTTTAGAGTTCTCATTATCTTCAGGCGATCTTACCGAACAGGGTATATTGAAAGTACTTTCCCCAACAACTTTATCAAATTTACGGGACTCTCATAGACATTATCATCGTCATCATCCTTGTTAGTTTGGTGGCTGGGCAATGTTTCGTCCATGTCTTTCATTTTTTGTATCTTCATTTTATTTTTCTCATGGTAATTCCTGTTCTCTTCCTATGCAATCTTCTAATGAATAATTATCAGATAACTATTATCTCTATCAATACCGCTACCACTAAAATCGTTTATATTATTAGAGTCATTCAAATCTGGTGATTTTGAATATCCTGTAAATTATTAAGTGTTCTGTTTTCAATTAATATATCGTTGTCGCCACCAGTATTCTATCATATTCAAGCAAACCAGGCAACTGGCACTTGTCAGGTCCAAATCAAACATCTTTCGAAATATTTTTAATTATGACAGTAAACCTCCATTTCATAATTTTTTTCACGTCTGGACAAATTAGAGTCGTCAGATTGGGATGTAAAATATTGACTTTGTCTTTTCTGTTGCAGTGTTGTTGCTGGTGTAAGCGATATATCGAAATCTAGTAAATTAGGGCGTGCAATATCTGATAAAGAACTAGTTCTATTTTGAAAACCTATATGAGAAGGGTCTATTGTAGGCGAATATAGAATAGACGTATTTTAGTTTTTTTTTAATATTGATTAATATTAACACCTTGAACTGCGCTCGCAAACCTGCGTACCAAGCTTGGCGAGTATGGCATTTATCCCCCTAAATGGGGGAGGCCCATGTCCAGCAGTGGACTGTCGCGGCTGATGTAGTGGTGGAATCCAAAAGTTCCAAATTCTTACCACAATAGATTTTAAGTCTGTAAGTATAGCCTGGAGTTGTACATAGTTTAAAAATCTTTATACCATATTTATGTAGCTTTTATTTCATATATACTGTCTTAAAATAATGCGACCACGAAATGGTATAAAGATTTCGTCGACACATTCGACTCGTTTGGAGTGAAATGAGTGGCAAAGTTTGTATTAATAGTTTGTATCAATTGTTTGGTTTTCTGTAGTATTTTATATTAGCGCGAGAAGTGGATACAAATATAGTATATATATATATATATATATATATATATATTTATAGCTTCCTCATTATTTGAAAAATGTACCAAACGAAGTATTATTTCGAATCTGTTAAGATTCATAGCTTGATTCACAAAATTCTGTGTAAACATTGGATTATTGGACCAACAATGCGCTAGAGATGGCAAATCTGGCCCGTCCACAAAACTATGCCAAAAAAGATCCCGTTTAAATAGTCAGCTCCCATTTATGTACTCTTGTTAAGATTCAAACCAATTTTTGATCACATTTGTTGCGCAAACAAGTTTGTTTGATAAGCTATGTCTTCGCAAACAGAATCCGGTACGAGTAATGAATAAAAATCTTCAGGATTTGAGTTCATCTTCAAATATCTCAATTTTAATCGGTAATCATAATAGTGGGTTAGTTACCCATTGAAGTCACTGAAGAAAACGGACGAGTTGAAAAGTCACATTGGTCGTCATTTTTGCTTTAGGATAATATTATGCATCTTTTTGTAATTTTAGATATAACGATAAAATAATTTTCTACACTACCGTAACAAGAAAAACTTTGTCTCCGTCGGCATGTCGTTTCTAGTCTCAATCTCGGTTAAATCCTCTTGACTTAATTTAAAAGCTTCGAATAATTTTTCGAATTACACAAATTTTAATTACTCGAGGTCAAATAAAAATGTGGGTAATACAAAATCTATGCAAACTAAACTTAAAAATATGACCTCCATCTAATAAAAAAAAAAACGACTCAATAACGCGGTCCGCGGATTCTTAGCGCAGAGCGTAATGCATCTATTACATTGGTCTTTTTTTATTATGTGCATAGCTGCTCGCACATCGCAGGTCTAGGGAAAGAGACCAGTATCACTGCGACCTAAAAGATCTATTGTGATCGCTGCTATGGCTATAGTTCACGTCTAAGCCCTATGTCTTCAATGATAAGAAGGAGTAGCTTAGTCGTGAGCAATTTCACTTCTTCTGGGCGGAGTACATAGTTTCCCAGATGAGTGTTACGTTTGCGCAATCAGTTAGGATGTGTAGAGGCGTTTCTTCCGTTATGGAACAGAACCGACACATCCTTGAGTTGCTTAGTCCCAGAATGGACATGTGCTTTTTAAGACAACAGTGTCCAGTTGCATTGGTCTTCCCAGTCACGGCGTAGTGAGAAATGAAATGAATGATTTTTATTCAATGTAGATTATTGCATAATATTTATTGAAAGTCATTTTTTATTTATCATTGGTTCGGAAAACTAAACCTCTGTCCTGGAAAGAACCAGCAAGAAACCCAGCGGGACTTTATTTTAAACATATTTCACTTTACAATTATTTATTTCGAACAATTTTTGAACGAATTTTATACAACCAGCATAGTGGCGATCACCTCATTTCCTGGGGTTATTTTCATCTTTGTATTCTTTGATATAATAATAACCCCTTTTGTGCAATTTTTCCTCCATTATTTATTTATTTAAAATCTTTATTGAATTAAAGTAAGCGATAATGATTTATTAACTGGTTTTATTCAATAAAGTAAGCGATTTAAAAAAAATTGAATGTGGTTGGTTATTCTTATTTTTTTAAACAACGTAATGTTTCTTTTTAATCAAAATTGATATCTTCATTATTTAACATACTGTCTCTCCAAGGCCCGTCCGTTTTTTCCATCCTGTATATTTATGGCATATATAAACTATTTTGAAATAACATCAAGCACATCTTTTGACTTTCTCTGATTTTCACCATGTTATGCGTTAGAAGTTTACGTGTTAACAACGGTCGCGTTGTTTCGGATTTATTTTCAAACATACACCGCTCGCTCTCACACAATATGCAGATCGGTCGATGATCAGAGTCTGTATCCCATTTGTCGCTGTCACCGAGCGATACTGTTATAATTTAGCAATGTGTGTGAAATTGTTAGTTTATTGTTTTAATTATTATATGTGAGTTTCGTAGTGATAAATATTTGTTTTTCTGTATGCAGATTTCCCCCAAAAAAGGACAGACAGTTCCGTATCGAAGAAAAACATAATGACCGGTCCCTCCGTATCGCCGGTGGCCCGTGTTGCGTAGTCTATGCGTACAACAAATTTAAAAAAGTTTTTTTTAAATGTTTGATAGTAGGCTTCATGTTGCCAGGAATCCTGTAAGAGTTTTCTTACCATATTACTTATCTTTTATTCTTAATATTGATAACATGAAATAGACAAAATAAAAGTAAAAAAAAACTTATAATTAAAATAAAAGTTAAAGACTAAAGGAAATCGGTACTAAGACATGAATGTATTGAAAAAATAATGCTCACACAGCCGCCCGAGTCTCCGCTCCTTGTGTAACCAATCTTATAAAAATAGAATGATTGAAATTGGTTCTTGATTAGCGAAGATATCGCGTATCGTACATACAAAACCTTTGTCGTGAATAGAATGGAATTATTTTATACGTATTCTAATATAATACGTTTATACATATATATATATATATAAACGTATTATACTTTTTCTGTGAGGGTAGGTTAATAGAGTAGTACACATTTTAGACATCTTAGATTTAAATATACTTTAAAAATAGTTACAGTTTGAATTTCATGTTTATTATTTATATGTAATAAATTACTACCTACCAGCTCTTATTTCCAAGTATTTTCTCTAACATCACTGCACTTTACAACTACTTTCACTATGGAAGCACTGAAAGGTTCACTTATGGAGATGTCAAAGTCATTCCAAAGTCAAATGGATAACTTTCAGCGGGAACTGCAACAATCTAGTTCTGCTGCCACAACTTCATCTTCTCTACCAGGTGATTTTAATGCTTTTAGAAAATTCATCTTGGCTGCTTTAACATCTTTGCATAACCAAGTAGATCTTTTGGGAAGAGAACTGGATCGTAGTGAAATGCGTCGCCGCAGAAAGATGATCCTACTCCATGGAGTTCCTGAAGAAAAATCTGAGGATACTACCGCCGTCATAAGTACACTTATCAGCACTAAACTCCTAGTCCCAGGTTTCAGTAAAACATCCATAAGCCGTTGTCATCGTCTGGGACGCCCTTCTGATAAATCTTCCAGGCCTGTAGTTGTCAAATTCAGCGATACTGTGATGCGAGACAAGGTTTGGTACTCCAAAACCAAACTTAAGGGCACAGGTATAACCCAGTCTGAGTTTCTTACAAGGAGGCGCCACAGTGTTTTTCTAGAAGCTAGGCGAAGGTATGGCATCACCAAATGTTGGACCAGGGATGGAGTTATCAATATCTTTACTCCAGATGGCACAAGGCACCAACTTGAGACCTTGTCTGAGCTTGACGCATTATGCAACGGGTCAACTTCTGCTTCACCCGTTTATCCTATTGTGGTTGAGGCAAATAAGGCCCCCGAAGATAAAGGTGCACCACAGCGTACTAAGAGGGCCGGTAAAAAATGAACTTTTTCGTAAATAATTTTATTTTATATTTTATTAAATTTTGTAATTCTGTTATAACTTTTCTCTGGACTTCATATTTTAGTTTTCTTTTTATCATTATATCTTCATTACTTTTCGTTGTTAATTGTAGATTAGATAGTAAAATGTAATGATTAATAATCTCTCTTTGGAATGTTTATTATTTAGTGTTATAATTTTTCTTGTATGTTGGTAATTGTTATTGTAATCTTTCTTTGGAATGTTTAGTATTAGTGATAAAAGTATTAAGGTAGATAATTGCTAGTTATCGTGTTGTAACTTTGACACTTTGACTCATCTGACAATGACATTAACACCTCTCACTTTTGTGTCTATGGTATGTTAACGTTCCGTTTCTTCACTTATTGTTAAGTGAATTAAACATTTCTTTCCATAATGCTGGCAGGTAGTTTACTGATGACTTATTTATTTTTGAATTATTTATTTTATAATTATATATATTATAATACATATAATAATACATATTTACTTAGTTTTACATATATTTAGTAATCAGATATAATTTAATATGATTTCTTCAAATGATAGTGTTCGGAGTTCCAATTCCTTCGCCTTTGATTCTGCCTCTGATGGATTAAGCAGTATTGACAGCTTTGAAAGTATTGAACCCTTAAATATTATGTTAGATTCAACTTTTTCTGAATCTAACAAAAACTTTAACGCTATTCACATAAATGCTCAAAGTATTCCTGCTCATTACCCCGACATGTTGTCAAGTTTTAATAGCAAAAACATACACGCTATCCTTGTTTCGGAGTCGTGGTTAAAACCATGTCTTCCATCAACTTCCTACTCGCTTCCAGGTTTTCATTTGATTCGTAATGACCGTACCGATCGGGGCGGTGGTGGTGTTGCTATTTATCTGCGCTCACATATACCTTTTTCAGTAATTCAAGTTTCAAATGGTTCGCAGACTGGAAACGAAGCTGAATTTCTCTTTATCGAAGTTCTTCTTGGTCATACAAAATTACTTCTTGGAGTTTTTTACAGTCCCTCTCTCACTGTCACTACTTCACCACGTTAGAAAATATTCTTGACAATCTTACACCTATCTATTGTCACAGTATTATTATGGGTGATTTTAATACCTGTCTTTTAAAAAACAACGCTAGATCAATAAAACTTAAATCTATTATTGAAGCAGCAAATTTAAAACTTCTTCCTACTTCTGCCACACACTTTTTCCCGAACTGTGCCCCTTCTCTTCTCGACATAATGTTTGTGTCTTTACCTGACCATGTTCTTAAATTTGGGCAACATGCTGCTGATTCTTTTTCCTATCACGACCTTTTATACTTGTCATACAAAATCCGTCCCCCTAAAGCTAAGTCAAGGATACTGCTTCAGCGTAACTTTAGTGACTTGGATTTGAAGCAGCTTTTAAATGACGATGTAAAGATTGATTGGAGTGTAGTCGTCAATGCGTCTACTGTTGATGAACAGGTTGCTTTGTTCAACTCTCTGTTAATTCAGTTTTACGACGTTCATGCTCCTGTTCGACCAGTGCGTGTAAAGCATCCTCCCTCTCCTTGGCTGACCGATGATATAAAAAAAAAATCATCGACATTAAAAATTGTGCCAAAGCTAAATACAATTCAGTCCCTAGCGATTTGAATAGAGAGAAGTATAGATTAGTACGGAATCGTTGCAACAATCTGTGTAGAAAAGCACAACGACGCCATATCCATGAATCAGTACAAGATCCTGATCCTGCTAGGGTCTGGAAATTTCTTAAATCCTTAGGAGTTGGGAAATTACGACAAAATCTCACACACCATAACCTTCATCTCAATCAACTTAATTTGCATTTCTCATCTTCTTCTTGCATTAACGATAAAGCAAAACATAATACTTAAGATTCTCTTTCAAAAGCTCCCACTCCGGACACCCCTGCTTTTAATTTTAGCCAATTTAACAGTTGTGATGTTAAGAGAGCCATAATGTCCATCCATTCAAATTCGATTGGTAGTGACTGCATTAGTCGGAAAATGGTCATCCCTCTCATTGATCTCCTTTTACCTATAATCACGTCTATCCTGAATAAATCACTGAATTCTGCTTTTTTCCCTTCAGCTTGGAAAGACGCATTTGTAGTTCCTCCTCCGAAAAAGTCAAATCCCTCTAGTTTTTCCGATTATAGACCTATCTCTATTTTGCCTTTCTTTTCCAAAGTTCTAGAACGTCTTGTGCACAATCAATTAAGCACCTATCTTTTAAAACACAATCTTTTAAATCCCTTGCAATCCGGTTTCCGTCCTGGCCATAGTACGACTACTGCACACAAATCACTGATGATATTCGGTATGGTATGGAGAAACAAAAGCTTACTATTCTCACGTTGCTTGATTTTAGTAACGCATTTAATACTGTAGATTTTGATATCTTGTTAAGCATCCTACGCTCTCTCGACATATCTCCAACTGTAGTTGACTGGTTTCGAAGTTACTTGTTTGGTAGCCGACAGCGAATTCAGGTGCAAGAGGTTTTTTCCACCTGGATTACTACAGCTGCTGGTGTACCACAAGGTGGCGTGTTGTCTCCTCTCCTTTTTGCAATTTTCATTAACTCTATAAGTCATAATTTGTCCTCTTCCTACCACTTGTATGCTGATGATCTCCAAATCTATACTCAGTCCTCTCTTGAAGATCTATCTAAAGTAGTTGACACTATTAACGCTGATCTGACTTGTATTTCTAATTGGAGTAAACGTTATGGTTTAACGATTAATCCTAAGAAAACTCAGGTCATTGTCATCGGTAGTTCTAGATTAATTGGTAAAATTGACTGGTCTTCCCTACCCCCTATTATACTAGACTGCACTCTAATCCCTTACAGTTACAAGTTACAGTAACAAGGTTAAAAACCTGGGGTTGTATCTTGACTCCTGTATGTCTTGGACCTCACAGGTTAATGAGGTCAGTAGAAAAATGTTTGCTGCGTTAAGCTCTTTACGTAGATTACGTAATTTCCTTCCCACAGCAACTAAAGTTACGCTCGCCCAGTCCCTACTTCTGCCTATCCTTGACTATGCTGATATTTGCTATCTTGACATTACCGAGGAGCAGCTTAATAAGCTTGAGCGCATTCAAAATTTATGCATTAGATTTATATTTGGGCTTCGCAAATATGATCTTATCTCCGAATTTCGCAAACAGCTCAAATGGCTCCCGATCCGCCTTCGCAGGAATACTCACATTCTCTCCGCGTTGTATAGTGTGCTGTTTAATCCTTCTACTCCTCTTTATTTAAAAAACCGTTTCCAGTATCTTTCTCTTACCCATAATCGGTTCCTTCGATCCTCCATCAATCTTTCTCTCTCTACACCTTTGCACTCTTCTTCCTTTTTCAAGAAATCCTTCACCGTAACCGCTGTGCGATTGTGGAACTCCTTACCTCTCCATATTCGTCGTGCTAAATCTCTTCACTCTTTCAAAATTCTTGTTAAATCGTATTATTTAGAACGCTATTAGATAAATTACTTTACCTTTCTCTTACACTTTTCATTTAATCTATTATATGATATTTTATATATAACTTTCACTTACTTTTATTTGTATGTATTGTTGTATTTTTTTTTATTATTTTGTATGCCCCCCTCTATTTGTAACTTTTGTTTGCATCATTACTCTACGCAAAGGTTGTCTGGAAGAAATCACTTTCAGTGATAAGACCGCCTATTGTACATACTTAATTAGTTGTAATTATATTTATGTTTCTGTATTGTGGTGTACAAAAAAGGATAAATAAATAAATAAATAATATTTTTCTAATTTATTATGATTGTAAAGGTTTGTCTGCGAGTGTGGGACCAAGTTTCTGACAAAGAGTTCCCTGAAGGAGCATATCGATTGGGTCCATTTGAAGAAAGCTAAACATGAATGTAATAAATGTGATAAGGTAATTTTTCATTCTCATTTATATCTTTTACATCTATATTGTCTCGTAAGTCTAGTGGTTGTAGTAGTGTGAGTGTTGATCATGGGATCCCGGGTTCGAATCTCGGGTCGGGCCAAAAAATCATTACATCAAGAAATTCTCATTAGCTGCTAGCTGCCCGGAGTTAGGATGTTGGCGATATCTCACCCGAGTGCTCCGGAAAGCACGTAAAGCCGTTGCTCCTGTGCCTAATTTCTCTCTGGCTGTGTCGGTTTACCGACCCATCTGACTATGAGAGTGAGGCAATAGAGAGTGCACCTGTGCTTGCGCATACACTTGAGCACTATAATCCTGGAATTCGGTCTATATTATATATATATATATATATATATATATATATATATATATATATATATATAATATTATTATAATATTTATTATCTGGAATGCTTTGCAGTGTTTTAGGTAAACTCTAATATAAAAAATTTATTTACATGTTAAATTTTTTATACTTCGCTTAGAAAGAAAGTAATATAGTATGCTAGGAAACTCTATTAAGTGTCATATATAGATTTTATAAGCATCGCTATTGCAAAAATATTGGGTTTCTAAATCAATAAAAATATAACTATGTCGGTCCTACTGCATTCATTAAAGGTGCGCAATGAATTTGTCGTCGTCTGTCTTGTCTTTCTGTTGTTGTCTTCGTCCTCATCATCATCATCATTATCTGTACCTATCAAAGTCCATTTTTGAACATAGGTCTCCCCCACAGATTGCCGCATAAGAGGGGTAATTGCTGTAGTTGCCACGCTTTGTAGCGGGGTTGACAATTGGAGTTTTTTTTAAATAATTGACTGATGCCTACATAGAATACTATAATACATACATAATAGAACGGGTGAGTGGGTGGAGCCTGTGTAGCCACTAAAATGCCACTAATACGTCAATTCATACGTATAAATGTCAACACGAGATGTGTTTTGACGTTACAATCGTTTTCAAATTTCGCATGCAAATTATTTAGAAAATGCCAAATTGTACCCTATTTACAAATACATATGTATTAAAATCCGTCTGTCAACACAGCGAACCGAGTTTGTAGTAGTGATAACTGATAATACGACGTAATTGCTTGTATGTGTGCTCCCGGCGACGCCAATCCTTCTACAAAGTAAGGTTGACAGCCCTTCTATTGTGTATTATAGTATTCTATGGATGGCTATGTCTTACGTTGCCTCTACACGACAGCTGTTGTCTTCTTTACTATCTTCAGCTGTAGCAATCAGGCGGGATAGTAGTCAAGCTGTAGCTTATATAGGGTAAAAAAATAAATTATTTTTGTTTATAATAGTGTTAAGTAAAGTTATGGCATATGTAACGTGTCTGTCCTGTTTTTAGTCGGAACAATTTAGAACGTGCTGATGAGGTATCATAGTCGTATTGTAACAGAAATCTGAAAGATGGTCTCAGGTATTGTGAGTGAGTATAGTGGGCATTGTCGGAGAGAGGGAACATGCCGACGTACTAATTTCTTTATTATACAAATGGTGTTAAATTAAAACTACAGAATTTTGCCAAAGTTTCAGCACGAGTATTACTGGACCAGTTCTTTTATAGAATAAGGGTGACATGTGAGCACTTAGTCCACCTGATGGTAAGTGGATGCTGTGGCCCATAGACATCTACATCTATCCTCGATTCAGAACCAAAATTCAGACGTATAATTATCCCTGAGGACTAAGATGAAACGCGTTGTTACCAGTAAAAAGGGTCTCTAATTTATGTCTATGAGCCACAACTATGTCTAGTATTCACAGCATCCACTTACCGTCCGTCGGGTGGATAAAAAAATCGTTGCTGTTTCTCAGGTTTTCAAGAATGGTTCGGCTTTGAAGAAACACAAAAACTACGTGCACGAGAAGAAGAGACCTCCGAGGAATAAGATTTGCGATTACTGCGGTCGTGGATTCACTGTAAGTTGTATTTTTTTTCTAAGTAAGTAATATTTTTTTTCTAAGTAAGTAATATTTGTGAAGGTAATATTTTTTGTAAATTATTATTAATATAAACTTATTTATCTGCTCTATTTATAAACAGTTCTATATGTGTTTAAATAAAAATGATCTCATTCACCAAGGTTTGCCTAGAAGACATGTCGCTGTTTAGCGATAAAGCCACCTAATTGTACACACACAAATAATTTTAATGTAAAGTTTATTGTGTTTATGCAGTATGTGCGCAATTAACAGTACCTGTAAATAAATAATATTAAGTTGAAAAAGAGAAGCAAGTAATTTAAATCCCCGCCGGCATCAATAAAATTGTTAATTGCAAATATAGTTCCCGATTTAGCAAGTTCTGGGCGGTGAAATGAAATATCGTGAGGAAGCTTGTTCGTATGAGTAATAAAATATTTTCATGATATGAGAAAATCCGCCAACGTACTGGAGTAACGTGGTAGACTATATTTTGCATAATCCTCTTTGAAATTAAAACTTTGTACCTGGCAGACGAAATAAGGCTATATTCCTCAAACAGTAGCGTTGTCACTGCTGAGCACTTATATAGAACACCTCGTTACTCTCGTTCTCGCCACCCACTATACAATTACAGCAGCATTACGCTGCTATTTCACGCCGGTATTATTTATGAGCGTGGGCTTTCTCCAGTCGAACCAAGCCATGCGTGCTGCAATGGTAACACAATTGCAGCGTAGCTCTATCGCATTGTAATATTTAAAAAAAATTGAATTGACCAACGTACCTTACAGCCCACCTGACAGTAAGTGGGGACTTCAGTCCATAGACACCTTTGTAAACTGAGATGTGATACTCGTATCTTATAGCCTGTTATTATACTGGATTTCTTTACCCTTTAGCCAGGTACACAGCAGTGTAGGCGCTACTATTTTGCAAAAGAAATATGTAAGATGATACTTACCCAGACGGACTCCTAGTCCCAAAAGAAGTCCTACCGTCTAAAGGCGTCCTAATATACTCAACATTTAGATGTATATTCATTTGATGAAAAAGTGAGCCACTCAAGAGAAATTTACCTCATTTACTGAGGCACTGCCTTGCTCTAAACGATTTAATTTTTTTGGATCGGTCAATAATAACCGATGTTTGCGTGTCGTATTTGTCGTATTTGCCCGCAATAACAGACTTTTTACTCTCCAGACGCTGACGATACTACGTTCACATGTGCGAACACACACTGGAGAGCGTCCACTTCGCTGCTCCCAATGTTCCGCCGCATTTGCTCATCCCGCTGCACTATATACACACACGAAACTACTTCATAACAAAGAAAAATGAGGAAGGACACTGTCTCACAGAATATCACTTATATATTCAAGACTGGATTCTCCTAAAGATAAAGAAGAAAATGCGTATCCTCTTTATAAACGTGTCCCGAAGTTTTCGTTATAGTCAAAACAAGTTTGTAAATACCCGACTTTTCACGAATATCCAACTTATCTTTATTTTTACGGATATACCTAAGATAAATTTGTGTTGAACGCCGCTCTTCGACAAAACGGCGTTAACGTGACAAACAAATAATTATCTTAGGAATATCTGAAATACTAAACATAAGTTGGATATTCGTGAAAAGTTGGGTATTCACAAACTTGTTTGCGACGAATGCCACGCCGTTTACTTGGGTTAGACTGGTCGCAACTTCGGAGACAGGTTATTAAGAGCATTTAGCTGCGTAAAGAAATTGCAATCCTGATAAATCCCATTTTACTAAACATATCTTGGGCACTGGACACAACCTAGCCAACGTCCACACCTTTAAAGTCTTACATACTTGTGATAAAGGACTGCGATTGTGTGTGCTGGAACAGTTAGACATTGAAAAAAATAAAAATGGTAAAGTTGCACTGCCGAATGATCAAACAAATGTTTCTAACTCTCCTCTTTAAACATCTTTAAGCCTGCTCTCTAGTAAAAGACATACACAATATGGTCGTTCATCACCCTCACGGTGATCAGCGATTGGTTGCGTATTTTTATAGCAAACGGCTGCGTATGTCAGGTGGTGATTGGTCGCATGTTTAATCGCATGACGCGGTCGCTCGCTATTTTAGAGGGGAGCTGTTGCGTCAGCGAGTTGTATAAATAGCGGCTGTTTTGACTTGCCGCTCACTTAGCGGTATGCCACCGTAGTCTGTCACCTAAGGATGCCAAATAGAGGCGAAACACGTGTCACATTATCGTCGATGGTGTGTCTTTCCTAGTGTAGTGGTGCTGGGATTAGTGCACGCAATTAAGGGAGGGCGAGAGGTGCTCTTCCAACTAGGTAAGACACAGCGTTTTATTTTATTGGGCGGATGTAGGCGAAGTAATTTTGGCCAACTTTAGCAAAAGAGCCTAAAAGATCGGCTTTCTGTTTTGCGGCGTGGGCCAGTGTGTCTTCCTCCCTGTGCGGAGATGGTAGTGATGGCTTATATAAATTCCCTTGGACAGCCTTTGAGATGAGAGGTCAGCAGAAGGTCCAACAGGGAAGGTGTATGATCTTCCACATCTGGAATCCGCGTAGGTGAAGTAACCAGTTGTGTCAGACCGTATGCCAAGGCAAAGCCATAAAGATATCTCTGCACATGATCGGTAAATCATACACCAAGCCATTCGGCGTGGTGGGCGTTAAATCGCCAAGTATCACGATTTCTGCAGGTGGAATCTATTGTAACAAGTAATCTGTAGCCATATGGACGAGATCAATTAGTCGGTCTGTTTCGACATTACCGCTATGGGATCTATAGTCTTAATATCTTTATATTAAAGAAAAAAATCGGTAATAAAACAAATTATAAGGAGTGTGCGATTTTATTGCTATTAAATGTAGAACAAATCTATTGTAACCTGGACGGGTGGCAGCTCTGATAAGTTGCCAACCATTTTGTGTTCAAGAATATTCGACACAATCATCACAGTTCTTCACCAGTCCTGTAAAATTCATTGCTGGACATGAACCTCATACACTTCTATTTGGCGCTAGCTAATTTACTCCAGGCATAAACAAAATGTTTATACTGCTATCTGTCGGAAACCATGATTTCTAACATTACTTTTACACATTTGATGATTTTCGTTACACCATACAGCAAAATAGTAGATATTTTTTAATCTATAATCTAATGTAAAAATGTTCATGAATTAATTTATAACAATAAATAAAGAGCTTATATTGCTTTTGTGTTTTTTATTTTAGCCCTGCATTTAAAAACCTAAATGTGTTACAAACGGCCTGCTGGTAGGAAGCACACAATAGCTTCTGTAGTTGGAGGTAAGACATAGTGTAAAAATTGAGGCCTTGACTTTAGAAGCTATTATACAATTTTTTTACTTGAATGTCTTTAAAATAGTTGCATTAAATACTTCATACATCATTTATTTAGGGTGGATTGTGGGTTTGGGTAGAGTTATTTCTATGGAGCTTGAACACTCCTAAACAGTGTTGCCATGTCCAAAAACTGGTCGATGGTTAAAAATACGGTTGATTGGACTATATAAAAAAACGGTGTAATTACGGTATAATACGTATATTAAAATAATTAAAGTACTTCTTTAAATTAAAAGTATAATCAACCCCCAATAGAAAACTTTAATGGAAATGGGAAAAGATGGGGAAATAACTAGTTATTCCGAATCAGACACTAAAATCTGAATTAATTTTGTTTTGATTTAATTTTTTTAATATTTCATTGTCGGGTTTATGTTTATACAGCATTCTCCGTGTATTTTCAAATCAAAAATTCAAGTCAAAATGTTCCCTTTTATTGAACGAGTTATAAGTTTGTTTCTTTTTTTGTCTTAATGTCGTTCACTCGGCTGAAAATCCGCTCGCACTCCGCAATGGAATGCGGCAATGATAATATTCCAAGCATGAACGTCTTTCTTGAGATACGCAAATTTCTGGATCAAGTCAAGTATTAGTGATACACTCATTACAGTCATGTCTTTTGATATGACAACCATATCAAAATATATGGTTGTCATGAGTGTATCATTTATAGCACCTCCTGCGAATGGCTACGCATGCTGTTATTATAAATTGTTTACATTTTTGACGTAATACGTTTTTTCGGTCTTCTTCAATCAGTTCTAATTGCTTTTGAACTCCAAGTCGAAGATAAATATCCTATGTGATATCATTATTCAGTAGGGTCAATCAATTCGATTGCAGTTGAATTTAAATATGTGGGTTTAAAAATTAATGACATTAGTTCGGTGTACAAAATTACTATTTTTGAATTCAATTTTGTGATCACTACAGATTCACTATGAAAGTAGGTATTAACTGTGGTGAATTTCGGTAACATCCATCCTAAAAAATAATAATACGCTTTTATAACGTTTTACGTTTTAAAAGTTGGGCGTAAATTTCCTGGCACTCTGCGTCCGTGAGCCATTTTCCATCGAAGTAGAGGTGCAATGCATTCCACTGCTCCAATATTCTATCAACGACAGCTTTTAGTGAAAGCCATCTTCTGGAAAGTGTTGAAATTCCACAAACTCACTTTGTCTCTTGTTACCGGTTTTAAAGTAATTATATATGTTTCTAGCCAACTTTTACAGTTGTAAGGAAGTTCTTTAGAGGCATCTTTAGCACAAAAATGCAAAGAATGGCAAACACATTTTAGTAGGGTGATTCCTGGACAAAGTTGCCTAAATCGGCTAGAGACGGAAATATGGCAGCCCATCATGGTATTTGCCCCATCAGAACTAAAACCGATTATGTTGTCCAAAAGAATCGGAATACTTTTGGAGAGATCCTATGACTTTTTCAAATATTTTTTCCGCATTAGCTGAGTGTTCTGCCGTATTTTCCTCAAACAAATGGATCAAATACCAAAAACGACTGATGATTTGGTTTAAGTTCGAATCAAAGTACCTCACTACAACGGCAACAGTTTTGGTAAAACTGATATCTGTGCTTTCATCAAAACACAGATATCAGTTTTACCAAAAAAAAAAAACTTTTAAATCATTTATTAAGCAGTGTTTTTCGGATGCTCCAATACAATTATTTATTACAGCTTGAACTTTTGTTCTTTTTTAATTTTATGTCAAGTCCCGATTCGATCGGGACAAAAGAGACAATAAATCTGTGAGATGCTCCATGTTCTTCAACGAAAGCTGCCAGTTTCACAGTAGACATTTTGGCCTGCTCCTTTTCTGTAAGTGTATGTGAACTAATTTGAAATGCACAAACGATTGTTTGCAGTGTCTTTTTTGACCTTGAACAGCTAAACATTTTAGCATTATTGATATGCGAATTTCATGTCACCGTTGTCATGCATCGACGGTAGGTGGTAATTTTTTTATGAGAACGGTGTACCTACTGTAACTTAGTTAGAAATATAAGTTTATAGAGCGGGGAAATGAGGTGAAGAAGAAATATAAATAATAATTAGACGAAAATATATTTGATTTAAGAAGCCGATAATAGGCGCGATTTAAATAAACCGTTGCTCAGGCGGCTTAAGCGTAGAGTCTAGCGCTGTGGGCGATTAAATGCGGACTGAAAAAAATTTCATGTCGCCATATCGCCCCCCGCCTTTCCCCACAGAGAACTTAAGGGTCGATAGAAATCAGGAACGCGTACTCGGCGATCCTAGCGATACAACCTGAATTGCAGAGCAGTTGGAAGTGCTCCTGCATCATCAGGAGCAGCGTTAGTCCTCATAGTATGGTACTACTTGTTAATTCCAAGAATGCCGTTACCTCGCGCCGCGCTCCCTCACTCCGCGTCTCAAGCGTCGCCCTATTAGTGCCGATAACAGCGCCTTCGTAATGTTTTACGTATTTAAAATATTTTAAATGTAAAATAAAACTATAAAAATTTAATTATAATATTTTATAATTGTATAGGATACGTTCCTATTCAGTTATTTTTTTTCTCTTTACTAAATAAATGCATTTTTTCTACTTGTTTGCTCTCAATTTCTATCTACAGGACAACAAACTACTTACTTAGTTTTGCTCAATTTGACAAAAAATAATCATCATGTTCATGTGATATAATAGATAAACATAGATAAACATGATAATTGTTTTGTCTACGGTACCGTCAGCTGTGATGTCATAACGGTCGACGACGGCAAACTTGAAATGAACACGTAGTAGTAGTTGCTGTCAAAAGCACAGTCGATAACGCACCAGAACTACCTGTTTCATCCGTCATTATATAGAACGGGTTCACCCTGTCAGTAGACGTTGACTATTCTACCAGAAACGTCAGTTTTGCAAAACTTTTTACTTCGCTCTATTACCTTATATGGACCGACATAAAGTAGTTGTGAAGATTTGACCGTACCGTACAAATAAAGAGACCGTACAAAATCCTGTCATTTTCATTATCAGGCTGCACGTCTTCACAATGGCAACAACTCAATATGTTTGTAAATCGGTGGTAAGTCATATTTAATTCGTGAATAAAGGGCGTATTACATAATGGGTCCATTTTCCAGTAGTGATCAGTTGATGGTTTCTTGTCTATTCTCATATTCATAACTATGGCAAAAAACTTCTTTATGACTCCCTTATTGTCACCAAACCATCGTGCTATTCTAGATTTTTTTAATACAATGAGGGTGACAAACGAGCACACAGTCCACCTGATGGTAAGTGGATGCTGTGGCCCATAGACATCTACATTTATCCTCTATTAAGAATCAAAACGCAGATGCGTTGTCACCCCTGAGGACTAAGATGGAATGCCTCGTTTCCAGTAAAAAAGGGTCTCCGGATCTCTACACTCAACATACGAAATACAGCAGTATTAAGCTGCTATTTTACGCTGGTATTCTGTGAGAGCGTGCTCCTTCCTCGGTCGATCCGACCCATTCATTCTACAACTATGATATAGCTGCAGCGTGGCTCTACCACGTAAAAATTCCTTCAAACGTATCTGTTTTATAAGTGCAGCGTACGCGTTTGTTTTTTCTATCATGCAATCAATCAAATCGTCACTTACAAAATACTCCATTATTTTCTCTATCGTAATAGTACCCGCTTCGTTGGTGACAGCCTTAAGAGCGCATTGCCCAAACGGAGTGGGCGATAGTTAGGTATTTCAATTAGACTTGCTGGCTGTTTGCGTCGTTACGCACACAGCCACAATTTCCATCGAGCGAGACTATTTGCAGATGTCATGTCAAAAGTACGTAACTAAAGATTTGAAAAATTTAAGTTCTTGAGTTTTTGTAGTACAATTTTTAAAATTTATTTAGTTTATTTCTCATGATATTTAATATAAAACAAAAGTATCTTTGAAGTTAGGTTGTTTTTATTTTCATATTTAATACATCTTAATACAATTTGAAACTAATACAAGTTAATAATGCTAACAAATGTTCGTTTGCTTTCTATTTACACAATCCAAGTTTTTGGAATATTTAAAAAAGTTGCAGCAGAACAGTGTTGTTTCATTTTAATAATATAATCTGTGGCAAAAGGAATAAGAACAACGAAAAAACATTTTCACTCTTAATATGTAGTTTTGACTAAGTGCATTATCTTTTATTTCCTCACACTAAGCATTGTGAAATGCTCTTAAGTTAATACTCACCTCCCGCACTTACATCGAAAATAACTTATTTGACTATCTTTTTGCGTTTTGGTGTGTTATTTACGTTTCGTTTCTTTATAAAGGCGATTTTATAAAAATTACAATTATTTATTTAAATTTTCATATCCAGTAGTATTCCAAGCCGTTTTGTCGTCGGAAAAGAATATACAACACCAACAGTACAACTTATTGGTATGTGAGCAGCCAACAATCCAATGAGTTTTGTAAACAGATCTATTAAATTGCCGTTTATCGGTTTTACTCGTCTGAGAAATGCACAGACCAGGCGTTGGTTTCGGCGAGGATATAAGCTGTTTTTTCTCAACAAAGTTTGAAGATTTTACCTTTTCCTCGCCGATTAGCACTTTAACACACTTCAATTCATCACAAGGAACACTCTTTCCCTCCATTTTCACTAAAAATCTTTAAAAAAGCATAAATTTTCAACTCGCATTATTTTATATAATACATTTGCTTAAGCTCAACACACAATGTAAACATTGAAATGTGACGTGTACTTGCAAACATATCGTCGGCGTCGCCCGCGCACCTCCGCTCTCGACTAACTTCATATCTAACGCGTTAATTATCGCGCGTAATTTTGTGACAGAAAAACCAAATAAATGATTCTTAGCACGACTCGGATTTCGAATTTGGGACCATATGGTCATTGCTGATCATATGATCAAAAAAAAGCGTTTAGAGTGATCGTCTTCTGGAAAGCCCGGTAAAAAGCCGATCAAGTGCACTTGACAAGTCTACGTGCTTGAAGTGAATATTGATCGTTTACACTTTACAGCGTTGGCTTGACAAGTCCCGTCAAGTATCTACGGGCTGGACCATACTTGACAAAAATTTTGATGGACGGCACTTGAACCACCTTGCGCTTGATGCGACTTGACAAGTTTTATTCATTTGCGGCCGGAACATCGAAGATGGCGGACGACGAATCGGACCGAGACGTAGCATTGGCGGCAAGCGCCGACCTAATTACCGAGCGTGATTTTGTGTTATTATTAATGTCTCTCTACAGAGATTATCCTGCATTGTGGAGAATTAAAAGTAAGGAGTATGCGGATAAAAACAAAAGGTCGCTTGCTTTATCAAGCATAGTCAAAGCACTTCGAGTATATAAACCTGCCTACACCGAAGATTTATTGAAGAAAAAAATTTATGCATTAAGAGCCAACTTCAACAAAGAAAGAAAAAAGATTGAACAAGCAAAACGGTCTGGCGCGTCTCCCGATGATGTACCAAAACCGTCACTCTACTATTACAATGAACTGTTATTTCTGTCAGACCAAATGTGTATAAGTGATACTGAAAGCAGTTTAAGCAGTGAGGTAAGCGACCAAAAACTAGAAAGAGATAGATTCACGACTAGAAAGAAGAGAAAGTGACTGTAAAAGATGCCTTTTACAATCCCTGCTGAGAACCACGAGCTAGTGCTCAAACACAGAGTCAGATACCAGTACATCAGGAACTGGCGAAAATGTCACCGAACCGGCGGAGAGATCTACGGAGCATATCGAGAGCTGATCTACACGGATGATCTGGTGTTGTCTGTGGTGCTGTCTTTCATAGCGCCCTTCACCACAGACTGCATGGGAGAGCCGAGAGATGGAATACCGGGACCCAAAGAGACAGACAAACCGACGCAGAAGTGGACATGGGCATCTTGGCACTAGCCTTGACATCCTATATGACCCTGGCCAAGCCAGTAACAGCCCAAAACAGTCCTGCATTTTCCAAAAGATGGAGGGCGGCATTAGCCTCGGTCCAGACGGCCGACATGGTTTCCACAAAGACATGGACCTCAATTCTAACTCCAGAAGGTTGTGGCAATAAGGGATGATCTCCGGGTGGAAATAGTGGACAAAGTGACCACACTAGAGTACACAGGGATCCGGGGGCGGTGCTGTCACAAATAAAACTGGTTTGGGGGTACTCTTCCTTGAAGGCAGTCCAATATATGGACGCTTATACGAAGTCTCATTGCCGCGCCCTCGAGATCCCAGCTGTCCTTGATCAAACTTTATTGCTGCAAACACGTTGGTCAAAAGCGCATGCTGAAGATCCTAATATAGCATTCTGTCGCGTAAGAAATCCTTCCAGCCACCCGGAGCTGAATCATTTTCATTTCCCGGACCTGTATTATGCTGCCATCGCCTACGCCAAACTAAATAAGCTTGTTGGTGACAACTTTCAGTTGTCGCAGACGCACACATCCCGCCACGCTTATTTAATTGACCGCTATATTAAGAAAACAGTTTCTTCGGAATTAGGGGAGATGTCCGAAGAGACCAAAACCAAATTGGCTAACCTAGGATACCCCATTACATCCAGAAGGCGCCAGAGATCAGAGAGAGACGACGAAGGGAGCGAACCCTCCCGGCGACGCTCACGAAGATAAGGGTCTCTCACTGCAACATCTAAGGCGTCCCCATCCCCGGCTGACTCCTCTCGGAGTGTCCATCGCGTCTTTATTTTGCGTTTTGTATTTTCTTCCAGCCCAGGTCTGCTGAATTAGGTTAGCTTTGGGATGGAGATGCAGCACGTTGCGCTACCATTCTTCATGATCCCCTTTTAAAGTTATAGAGATTAAGCTAATTCACTTGTAGGATACTAAGATTAGCATGCTCTTATTTGATATAGATTTATAGATTATCTGTTAAGCAAGTGAGGTAAAACATTTTTTATTTACAATAATTCAAAGATATATTTTACTTTTAACACGTTAGCTGCCAGAGTGATTTTTCGAAAAACGAAAAAATTTTTTTTTAATTTTGTCCAAAACCATTTGAAAACACCTAAAATATAGTAATACCTTATTTACATTGCTCATACACTTATTATTTACATATTTACAATTTGTCGGACATATAGTCTGACACGGCCTGAACGGAATATTTTTCAACACTACGCCGCGCGGGTCACTTTGTTGGACACGTGCATGACGGTTATTATTTGGGCGCGTAGCGCGTACCTATAGGAAGTACTCAAGAGTTGTGGCCAATCATAGTACATGATTCAACTTTCCCACGCTCTAGGCTAGGCCAGATCAGTTGCATGTTGCACTTGCATCGGAATCGCATTGAACCACTTTTTGTTTTATTACGATTTTGAGGTTATTTCAACTTTTGGTTAATAGTTGTGTCGTAAACAGTAAATATTCGACTGTGAACTATGTTTTTCGACGATATAGAATTAAGTCAAGACGATTTAGATGAAATTAACAAAATCGAACTATCGTGTCAACGCAAGCGCAGTTTTTCGGCCACAGATAATGAGGAAGAATCTTTGGCTGTTCCACGTAGTAGGAAGCGACGTCGTATCTTGTCAGATAGTGAAAGTGATGATGAGCAGTGCTTCTCACCTGCGCGCCCATCTACTTCGGGTGCTTTGCCAAATGATGTGTGGTCAATCTCGACAGGTAACCAACCCAAAATTATACCGTACACAGAATCACCTGGGCTAAAACCTATTCAACTGAGACATTTGATGGCAAATTCTGACCCGCAAGACTTTTACTCATTACTCGTACTGGACACAGTTTTTGAAGACATCGTATATCAAACGAACTTATTTGCAGAACAAATAATCTCAAAGGGTGGGTTAAAACGAGTCTCAAGAATTCACAAATGGGTGCCTACAGACGTCAAAGAGATAAAAAAATTCTTTGCTCTTATTCTGTGGATGGGGTTAGTGAGATTACCATCTCTTGCCGATTATTGGTCTACAGATCCGATGTTTCGACAAGATTTCGCAAAAAAATGCCCTGACTCGAAACAGATTTGAAATTTTACTTCGTATGCTACATTTCTTAAATAACGAAGAAACTGAAAAGGGTGACCGCCTACACAAAATAGATAAATTAGTTAAAACACTAAATATGAATTTTCAAGCCCATTTCATTCCCAATGAGTCATTATGTGTAGACGAAAGCCTCATTCCTTTTCGCGGCCGAATTATATTTCGACAGTACTAGAAACAGAAAAGGCATAAATACGGTATAAAGATTTTCAAATTGTGCACAACGCTAGGTTACACTTTTAGACTAGACATATATGCAGGGAAAAGTTCCGAGTCCAAAAATAATACACCAACAAATATAGTTCTTAATCTTTGTAGTAACCTGTTGAATAAAGGACACACTATGTATACCGATAACTGGTATACCAGTGTAGATTTAGCAGACAAGTTACTTGATTCAGAGACGCATCTGGTTGGTACGCTCCGCAAAAATAGAAAGAGATTGCCGAAAGAAGTCACTGAAACGAAGCTCAAACCTGGTGAATATATTTCTAGAGAGAATCAAAGGGGTATAACCGTTATGAAGTGGCGAGATAAACGCGAAGTACTTCTGCTGTCTACAAAACACTCTAACATACTAAAAGAAAGTGTGAGTAAACGGGGCCTTGTTACCAAGAAACCCAAAATTATTTTGTCCTACAACCAAGCGAAGTCGGCCGTAGACCTGTCTGATCAAATGTCAGCATATTCAACACCATTGCGTAAGACAGTAAAATGGTATCGAAAACTTGCTTGTGAGTTACTACTCAATACATCGATTGTAAATGCCTTAGTTCTGTATAAGCAAACAACAAAAAGGAATATTTCCATTGTTAAATTCAGACAAGCCATAATAAAATATCTAATGACTACTCCACAGGAAATAGATACACCAAGACCGGTAAGACCATTGCGAGGAATACATAAGCTTACACGGAAAGAAGGCGTTTCTAAAAATATTCGTAGGAACTGCCAACATTGTTACAAAAACAATATCAAGAATCTAGGAAGACTACAAGCTCGCAATAAGACAAAAAATGTTGCGACTTATTGCCCTGGGTGTCCAGAAAAACCTCATTTGTGTCTTAACTGTTTCAATGCTTCTCATAAGTAATTTTTTGTACCTTTATATGTCTAACTTTAATTACCGTTGCTAATACAATTGACGACATTTTATTTTTAAAGATAATCATAATTATGTTCTCCAAAAGTAGTAATAATAAACGTTTGATTTGAGCTATATAAATTTTAATTAAAATTACTGTCCCTTCGAAGTTCATACTGCTATTATTAGTAAACAGTTGATAAAAGTTAGGTTGACCCGCTGTTTATAAGCTTTATGGGGCCTTGCGGGTCACGCTGTATAGACCAATTCGATTAAAAAGTGTCCGACAAGCCACAGCGAAGAGTTGAATGGAAGTATGGCTTTTCGGACACATAGTCCGACACGGCCTGGTTGAAACATTAGCTTGTCGGACATATAGTCCGACATGGCAGCTAACGTGTTAAGTATGTTTTTAAATAACTAAATTAGGCAATTATTTTTGCCAAGGGACTGGACCGTTACCATTAAAGTACTCGCAAAAGTCATCTCTCACTCTTTTTGCCGCATTTGCCGAGTTTCCTCGTACTCGCTCTATATTTAACAATTGGCGTCCTTGTCTCCACGCACCTCTTGTGACTGTGGTATTTAGTTCTTCTATGTCAATATCTCCTGGTTGAATATATTTGTTTTTATTTTTTTTCACACAAATTGTTGTGTGAGTGACAGGCAGCCAAAACAACTTTTCGCGTTTTATCGGGATGCAGTCCAATGTCTTTTTTAAATATTTTGAATCGCCAAGACAGGATGCCAAAAGCATTTTCAACCACCTTCCTGTCTCTTGACAATCTATAGTTGAAAATCCGTCTTTCTTCTGTCAAGACGGCATTGTTGTATGGCTTCATGAAGTTTGGAGTCAGTTGGAAAGCTTCGTCACCTAACAGTACAAACGGAAACTTTTTATCGCTTTCTAGTAACTCACATGGCTCCGGAATATTAAGTTTGTTTTCACTTTCAGAAAACAATTGCCAAAACTTTGTATTTTTCAAAGTTCCACCATCTGACATCCGCCCATTTGCACCAACATCAACCATCATAAATAAGGTGCCCCGTCAAAACAGCCCCGACAAAACAGCCCCGACAAAATAGCCCACCGACAAAACAGCCACCGTCAAAACAGCCCCCGACAAAACAGCCCAAGTCAAAATAAATACCATACATATCTATAGAATTTATAACTATACTTATACCGTGTATCTACTTCAGTTGGCGATATATGGGAAACTTTTCTATTGTGAGTTTTAGCAAGAAATTATTGAAAAAATTGTAAGTGGTGTAAAACGAATGTTAATACTTTACGTGAATTTTTTTGGTTCATTTTATGTATTTTTTATTTTCAACAAAACTATTGCATCGTCTACACACGAAATAAATACAAAAATAAATGTAGGTATAAAATTATATTATAATGCATATTTACAAACAAAATTCTACAAACTATATTCGTCAAAGGTTATTAATTACAAAGGTTACAATTATTAATAATTATTATAAAATAAAAATAAATGAAGTTATATAATAATATATCAATTTATAATGTCAGATTGTTGGAAATTCCACGGAGATATATAATAGATAATTGGCGTTTACAATAGCCAAGGGAACAATACTAAATGTCTTTTTTAGTTAAAATAGTAAGATCCAGAATTTGAAGGTTTTTCTATTTCGATGTGCTTGCCATCAACAGTACCTATACAGTTGGGAAAGTTCCATCGTCTCTCGAACTCTTTGGCTACTTTTTTCCAGTCCTCGGTCGTTCTCGGTACCTGTGAATAGTACAAACATTGGTTAATTTTTTTACAGGCTTCCGGGTCATCCAATTATCAAAAAGAGATGCCACAACCAAAGAAAAGCAAAAACACATCACAGCAGGACCTGATAGATATAGCATTGCATTATTTCAAAAAACCTGATGACTCTGAATCGGATATAATTGCGAAGGGCTGGGCCCTTAAACTCAAACGTTTATCAGCAGGTCAAAGACGCTATGCGGAGAAAATAAAAAATGACATTTTATTCGAAGCCGAAATGGGATCACTGTCAAGAAACGGAGTTCAGATCTTGTCTGCTAGCTCACCCACATACACATACTCATACCAGTCACCTGCATCACATCAGTCATCATCACCTGTGCCATCACCAAATGCACTCCACTTAACTACGACATACCAGTCACCCGCACCACATCAGTCACCATCACCTGTGCCATCACCAAATGTACACCACTCAACCTTGACATACCAGTCACCATCACCAAGTGGGCACCACTCAACTTTGACATACCAATCACCCGCACCACATCAGTCACCATCACCTGTGCCATCACCAAATGCATTCTACTCAACTACGACATACCAGTCACCCGCACCACATCAATCACCATCACCTGTGCCATCACCAAATGCACTCCACTCAACTACGACACAGCAGTCACCTGCACCACATCAGTCACCATCACCTGTGCCATCACCAAATGCACTCCACTCAACTACGACATACCAATCATCCGCACCACATCAGGTATTGCCAAATCACTCATAATTGCGCCATCTCAACCTATGCAGGCGCCAAGTGTATCTCAACAGTCCGTAATTCATATACCAGAACCAACTACTGAAGAAGAATCACAGACTGCGGCTAAGTTCTTCTATTCTTTTTAGTAACTTCTATAGACCAAATTGAGAACTTTTTGGAAATGAATCAGTTGCACAACCGAGCCATATAAGATAAAATAAAAGAAACCAATAAAAAGTTTTCTGTTTCGTCTGTCTCATATTTCACCATTACATTAAGTATTTAATTTTTGTTATGATTATTTTGGTTAAGATAAATGAAAATAAATGAATATCATACATATCCGAATATTTTCTTTTAACTTTTGAATTATAGTCTCACACGTCTCCTGTATCGAGCCATATAAGATAAAATAAAAGAAACCAATAAAAAGTTTTCTGCTTTTGTCTGTCTCATATTTCACCATTACATTAAGTATTTAATTTTTGTTATGATTATTTTGGTTAAGATAAATGAAAATAAATGAATATCATACATATCCGAATATTTTCTTTTAACTTTTGAATTATAGTCTCACACGTCTCCTGTATTATTAAATCCAAAGTACGAGGAGCGACAGCACACATAAACTTTAAATCTTCCAAGTCCATACCAGTGACCTTAGAGATATAGAGAGCCTTTGGCTGGCAGGAACAGCTTGTCGCATATTGGTATCTTGCTTTTTAATATTGGGTCGAATCAACTCCAACAATGTTTCAAAAGAATCGTTGTCCATTCGTAGAAAATTTTTATAATCGTCGGGCTCAGTTGCTTGAAGAGTTGTTCATGCGTGAATCGATATCTCATTTTATACCATTCCTTACACCATCGCCTCTTTCTTTTCTCTTTTTCTGTGATAGATACCGCTAGATTTATAGCAAGGAATGCCTTATCTGCGTTGGAAACCATTATTAATTTTTGCGACGACCACTTTCCTGAGCACAGGGCGGTGAACGACTGCGGCATGTGGACTTGACGGCACCTTCAAGTCGCGTCAAGTGAAATCGTCAAGCACGTAGACTTGTCAAGTGCACTTGATCGTCTTGCGGACCCATTATATGTATGACAGCAGTATCCCTAAGCCTACGAGGTCATGACCTGTTTCGAACAGAGCGCGCGGGAAATTTGAAATAGTTTGAAACAGTTTATGAGTTATTTTATGACTTGATATTACGAGGGGCACACTGAAATGATCGGGAATAAGGAAAACCACATGCACGGTATAGCTAAATTGGATTTTATTGTTTTTCGAAGTATTCTCCGTTGAACGTAATGCACTTTTCCATAGCTGCTTGGGGGTCTTCAAACCGTTGACCGCGCAATAAATCTTTTCAAGGGAATGTAAAGAAATCGTTTGGGCTCAGGCCAGGACTGTACGGAGGATGGCTCATCAGCTCAACCTTCAAAAAATCATTTGTCTTCCAAGCCGTATAAGAGCTCGCATTATCGTGATGTAAGATGATGCGTCGTTTCGGGTTATTTTTTCGGAGATCGGCTATCATTTCTGGCAAACAAACCGTGATATACCACTCAGCGGTAACCGTTCTGCGTTCCTGTAAAGGAATTGTAGCAACATGCCCCTTTTTCGAGACAAACGTAGCGATCATTTTCTTTGACACGCTGCGTGGGCGAACTACTTTCGTTGGTTTGACCTCGTCTTCGAGGACCCAAACTGCTGACTGATGTTTTCTTTCAGGTTCGTATGAATATTTCCATGATTCGTCACCTGAGACGATATTATAAACGGCATTTGACTTCCCTCCGTTGAAGCGTTGCAGAGTATTCCGGCACTAATCTACACGAGCCGCCTTTTGCTCTTCGGACAAATTGTGGGGAGCTTTCTTACACACAGCTCATTAAGTAATATCGACTGAATTGCAGTCATTTCGATACTGATAACAGCCCGAATCTGCCCGTATGTAACATGACAGGCATCTAATATAATATTTCGCATAGCTATGATGTTTTCAGGCGTGACCGCTGTTCTTGGTCGACCTGCAGAAGAAACAGTGCTGAGCGACACACGAGCGCGTCGGAACTCGGCATACCAGCGGTATATTGTCGTTTGACTCGGTGCTTCAACATCATAAATCGAAACAAGTTCGCTGAGAAATTTATCTTGAGATAAGCCGCGACGAAAATTGTGATAATTATGGCACGGAAATGTTCACGCGTGAGCTCCATTTCTGTTAACGACGTGTCAATTTTAAACCAAAATAGTTTTTGTTTTTAAACATTTTTTAAATTGTTTGAATGTCATTAAGATTCTAAGAGGCCAGTATTCTAATTCTAAAAATGGTTTTATTGTAACTCAGTCCGAAAAATTCTATTCCAGATCATTTCAGTGTGCCCCTCGTATTGATTGATTCAGCTTGATAAGGCAAGCCGGGCTTCTCGGCTTGTATGGAGGCTTCGCCACTGCTTCTAACCATATATTTTCTGTGTCTGATCATGAACTAGTAGATCGCGGAGTGCTCTTCATGATCAACCTCCATTGCAAGACCATCTGGTATAACCGTAAAAGACTGCTCTAAGTATTATGAACTTTATTACTTCGGGCAATTTAACTTTGTAATATTGCATGGATTCCTTACACTTGTAAAAATTTTACGTTAGCTTCATTAACTTGGAATAATTTCGCTGTTAGAAATATACATATAGACATAACTTAGAAAAATTGCACTAAGTCCGTTGAGACGGGGAATCCATGCCGGTTTGAGTGGACATTAAAGTATACTAAAAGACTTGTAAAATTTTTGTGATCTCACTATATTGACTTTTTTTCAACATAGTAAAAATTTAAATTGCGCTCACTCACATCGAACTTTAGTGATTGTTGAACTTTAATCTTCAAGATGGAAGGGTTAATTAAGGTGCAAGCTGATCTTAAACAAAAGATTAGTAGTGGATATTCCAACTTTAGGAAATCGCCTAAAGCTCGTATAACAAAACCATACGTTGAAACAAGATTAGAACAACTGGAAAAACAATGGTCACAGTTTGAGACTAACCATTATAATATTATAAGTGAAGCTGATACCGATAAAAAGGAAATATTATATATAAAACAAAATGTATATGACAGTGTAGAAGAAAGTTATGTGACTTATAAAGTAGAACTTAAAGAAGCGTTAACAGAGGTATTACCCGTCACCCAAAGTACGAGTTCAAATGTTACTATGGAGGCTGAACCGCCGGCTATGAGGTTACCCAAAATTGTTTTGCCTTCCTTTTCAGGTCAATATATAGAGTGGCAAACCTTTCATGATTTATTTGAATCATTAATACACAATAACTCATCTTTAGCCGACGTGCAGAAAATGCATTATTTAAAAGGTCATAGGAAATAGCCATTCTGTATATCGTTGTAAAAGGAGCACAAAATGTAATCGATGTGGCCGACGTCACCATTCTTTGTTACATCCAGAAGGTGTGGGTTCGCCGCTTAATGTAGTTTCTAATCCAACGGAAACCCACCAGAATAAGAAGATTGAACAGCCGTCACCAGATGTAGGACAAGTGATTTCAAATCATTGTTATGTTCCTGGTCGTGTAATCTTAGCAACAGCTGTTGTTAGAGTATTTAGTAGTAAGAATAAGTGTTATTTGCTAAGAGCTTTATTGGACCAGGGATCCCAAGCTTCATTCATTACGGAGCATTGTGCCCAATTGTTGGGCCTTCGTAAATCTTCAGTGAAGAGAGTTGTTACAGGCTTGGGTGGAGGGAAATCACATTATATTAAACACGCGGTACAGTTTAAAATACAGTCCACTATTTGCACATTTGAGTGTGAAGTGCGAGCTTATGTGCTGAACCAACTGTCGTCAAATTTGCCAGTAAGAAGAGTTGAGATTCACAATTGGTCAGAACTATCAAAATTAAGGCTAGCTGATCCAGAATTCGGTACACCTAATAAGATTGATATCTTACTCGGTGCCGATATTTATGCGCAGATTTTGACAAACGGATTGGTTAAAAATCCATCTGGTGCATTAACAGCACAGAATACGGAGCTTGGATGGATCCTTTCGGGTCGAGTACAGTTGGATGAGGAATACCCCAGCAACATCATAAGTTTGCATATAGATGATTCGTTGAATCAATTGATTCGGAGCTTTTGGGAGATAGATAATGAACAGCCTCACAAAATTCTATCTGAAGAAGATAAAAAATGTGAGAGTTTATACGATGCCACTACAACTAGAACTCCAGATAGTCGGTATATTGTTCGACTACCCTTTAGGGTAGAAGATCCTCAATGCCAATATGGGGCTTTAACCCGTTACCTCTGACAGCACGCGACATGTTATACTCCCGTTCCCTCAGGACCTTAATGGCGGGAAAATTTGTAAGTTAGGAAATTTTTTGCTATATTGCAAACTTTGCTATATTTTCACTTTGAGACAATATTTATGGATAAAACTTACAGGAATTCTTGTTGAATGTATGAACTATCGAATAAAATTATTTTTGGTTGCTAGAAATTGTAATAAAATACATAAATTACCCTGTATAGTAGTAGTATATACTTCAATTTTAGTGACAAAATTACTACTAATTTGAATTCTACACTTTTGTTTTTGGAGAAATTTATATGAATATGTTTGGAAATATGTATATTTTTATGTTTTATGTGTTTCTATTCGTTACTCATACCAAAATATAAAAAAAAATTAAAAAATAATAATAATAATATTTTATCTGTATGATATTTTGAACAATATTTCAAAAATAGTTTTGTGTGAATTTGAAATAAATACAACGTCAAGTTATTTTAAATATGTAAGAAAACTATTTTTACTTACATTTTACACTAAAAATAAATGAGAATTTGAAAAATAACACATTTATGACCCAACCGCCAAAATGGGCGTTCCGGATTTTGAATTACTTTTGGCAATTTACTTTTCACTTTTTATAACACAAATTATATATCTACGTGTTCACTATATTACAAGGAATATAAAAAGTATAATACTTTCGTTTTTAGTCTAGACACAAATATAAAATTCTATAAAAAAGACGGAGCACCTTCATCAAAGCGACACGTGGAACGCCGAAAGTTCAGAGTGATTTCTTTTTTTTTTTCTAAGAAACATTGCCAGGTTATGGTTTAAAATAAAAGAGCATATCTTTGTCTTTGATACTATTATCTATTGCATATTGTCTTTGGTTTTGTTTTAAAGGAAAAAATAGTTTTTTCATAAGGCAGTACTTCTGATCCGACCTGATCTAATTCGACCCGTACCAGAGCCGACGTAACATAGGTTATTGTATGATCTAATTAGATCCGTAGCCGAGTGAAGGACATTGCGATGCGAAGATTCAATCTTCTAGAGAGTAGGTTGAATAAAAATCCACTCTTAAAGGAAGAATACTCAAGGGCAATGAGTGATTATATAAATCAGGGTCTTATGAAGGTTGTTGACTCAAAAGAGTTAGCTCAAACAAATTGTGTTTATTTGCCTCTCCATGCGGTGGTGCGTGAGGATAAAACGACGACCAAGGTCCGAATAGTTTTTGATGCCTCCTGCAAGGAGAAAAACGGCAGGTCTTTAAATGATGACTTGTTGGTCGGGTCGAGGTTGCAGCCTGAGTTACGTCATATTTTATTAAGATGGCGTGCTCATCCTGTGTGCTTTGTTGCTGATATCGTACAAATCTATCGGCAAGTAAAGGTGCACGAGAAAGACGCTAGTAAATATCAACGTCTTTTATGGAGACATAGTCAGAACGAAGAGGTTAAAGAATTTATGATGACTAGAGTCACATTTGGTGTTTCTTCGGCACCATATTTAGCAGTGAAGAGCCTCCAACAGGTGGCTAAGGATGAAGGCCAGAATTACGAGCTGGCAGCATGTAGAGTTCTGAATGACTTTTACATGGATGACTTCATGTCAGGATGTGAGGATGAGTCGCAAGCTGTGGAGATCTACAAACAAGTGTCGGAATTACTGGCTAAGGGTGGATTTAGCTTACAGAAGTGGGCCTCCAATAGCAGTAAGCTGATGGAGATGGTTCAGGATAAAGGAAAGGAAAAGAAATTAAATACTAAGCTAGATGACATTGTAAAGATTCTTGGGTTATGTTGGGATGTTACTTTGGATGCCTTTAGGTACAAGGTAAATTTACCAGAACAGAAGCAGAGGGTGACTAAGAGAACTATCTTGTCAGACATTGCTCGACTCTTCGACCCTCTTGGTTGGACTGCGCCAGTTATCATCAGAGCTAAGATTTACATGCTTTAGAAGCTTTGGCTTGCCGGTGTTTCGTGGGATGAAGAGATAACAGGCGATTTACTACAAGAATGGATTACTTTTAGACAAGATTTACCTGTTCTCAATCACGTCATTATATCTCGCTGGACTCACATGAGTGAAAGTGTGGCTGATGTGTCCATACATGGATTTTGTGATGCATCCAATGTCGCCTATGCAGCAGTTGTATACTTGAGAATCGTAGACTTGCGGGATGGCATACATGTGAGTTTATGTGCAGCAAGAACGAAGGTCGCTCCACTGAAACAAATTTCTACTCCAAGATTGGAGTTCTCCAGAGCAGAGTTGCTTGCAGGCTTGCTATCTGAAATCGCTTTAGTGATGGGTTTATCGAGATCGCAAATCCGAGCTTGGACTGATTCTACAATCGTCCTGGCATGGTTAAAGGGTGAACCAAGCCGCTGGAAGACCTTTGTCGCCAATAGAGTGACAAAGATTCTTGCAGTTTTAGACAATGATCAGTGGTCTCATGTGGAATCAGCCCAGAATCCAGCCGACTGTGCGTCTCGTGGATTAAGTCCTAGTGATTTCATTAAGCATGATTTGTGGCGCTATGGTCCAAATTGGTTGCGTGACCTTCAATACCCACAATCACAAATAATTGTTCCACTAACCAATCTGGAAGAGAGGTCTATTAAAGTTCACACTGTTATTGAGGACAGCCCAAAATTGCCAACAGATATTACCGTCTGGGAAAAATATTCATCATTGAATAAATTAGTACGAGTTGTTTCTTGGTGCCGAAGACTTTTAAACAAGCTCAGACACAAAGCAAAGATCTTTCCGAACTATCTTACAGTAGATGAGTTACACGAATCAATGAAGCTTTGCTTGAGACATTGTCAACAATCGGCATTTTCGGATGAGATCAGTCGTCTAAGGAAGTTAACGGATGTAGCTAGAGGAAGTAAATTGCGCTCGCTGTGCCCTTTTATAGACGCAGACGACATATTACGAGTTCGGGGACGTATTCAGAATAGCAATGAAGAGTATGATGTCAAACATCCAATCATTTTGCCGTATAATCATTGTCTGTCACGTTTAATTGTAGCAGAAGCACATGAGAAAACTCTCCATGGGGGGCTTACATTGATGCTGAATTATATCAAATCCATGTTAGAAAATGTGGAAAATGTATTAAGTATCAACGAACTGCTTCCCAACAGCCTTTTATGGGAGACTTACCCAAAGCTAGAGTAACAGTAAGTCGTCCATTTTCCCGCTGTGGTGTTGATTATGCTGGCCCTATTAATGTTTGGATTTCCAAGGGCAGAGGTTGTCGATGCTATAAAGGTTACATTGCACTTTTTACCTGTCTGGCGACGCGAGCCATTCATTTTGAGGCCGTCAATGACTTGACGACATAAGGTTTCCTTTCAGCTTTTAAGCGTTTTGTAGCGCGCCGTGGTCACTGTCTAGAGGTGTTCAGCGATAATGGCACAAATTTTATTGGAGCATCAAGGGAGCTGTAAAGGCTAAGTCAAGCTGAGAATTCGAATATTGCCGATGAAATCGCAGTGTCTGGCAAACAAAGGTACTAAGTGGTCCTTCATCCCTCCTCACTCTCCAAGCTTTGGAGGTTTGTGGGAAGCTGGGCTAAAGTCAACAAAGTTTCACTTGCGTCGTGTACTAGACGGAACGACACTCACATATGAAGAACTGTCAACGGTTCTGACGCAAGTCGAAGCATGCTTGAATTCCAGGCCTTTGTATCAGATCCCTTCTAGTTACGGTGATCCCATGCCGCTGACACCCGGTTATTTTCTGGTTGGTGAAGCTTAGTTACTGCACCAGATTACAATTTTGAAGACAATAATGTCGGTAGTTTACGCAGATGGCAGCTCACACAGAAACGTGTGCAGCACTTCTGGCGAAAATGGTCGCAAGAATATTTGACTACGCTGTGTCAAAAATATAAGTGGAATAAAGTCACGCAGGAACCTAAGTGTGGAGATATTGTTTTGGTTAAGGAAGATGATCTCCCTCCATCCAAATTGTTATCAGGTATTATTGAAGAGAAGCACCCTGGTCCAGACCATATAACTAGAGTAGTTACTCTTAGATGTAGGAATACTAAAATTAAGAGACCCGTGTCAAAGATATGTATTTTGCCTATAGCTCCTGAGTAGTGATAATTTAGTAGTTATAATATATATAGTGTGTTATTTTTAGATGATTTTTTTTCTTAATAGATGTGTAATAGTAGTGTAGCGTTGTAGTGCTTGCAGTTGCTGGCAAGTTTGTTTTAAAGTTTCTTATATACTTCTTGTACATTTGTTATAGACCTTAGATAGAGATGGCTATTACTTAGATTTAACAATTTATTGTTATTTATTTATTTAGTTGCTTTGTAGTTAATTTGTTAGCAGTTAAGATTTTAAGTTCTTTATAGTATTGCTGTTGTGATTAATTAGTTACTGATACGTGAGTTGGTTTAAAGATATGCAGCTCTCTTGTTGTTAAGGACTTGAGAAGTCCTTGGTGGGCGGCATGTTTGTTCGATTTACTTTAGTGAATTTATCACCAGACTAGATGTCGCTCAACGACGACATGTTTGTGTCGAATTGGCTTAGTTAATATGGTGCTAGATGTCGCTCATCGATTTAAAAAAGCGTTATGGTTTGAACATTACATAGACCTACAGTATTTTGTTGAATTAACCCTTTATAAGGCATAAGCATCTAGGGGTGGATAAGTAAAACTGTTGATGGTTTTAGACTATTTTTATTATGGTTTTTCACAAAATGCAAATAAGAAATTCAAAAATTTAAAAAAACACGGTGGTAAATATTTTCCCGCTGCCCGTGACGCCTTAACTAGCCTTTCCTATGAAATGCAGTAAAACATGGTGTTATGCAGAGCGGAACTTTGCATTTTTCACATATAACTTTCGATCTTTTGTCTTTTTCTTTTGTGCTACACATTCTGCAACGTTTATATGAAGGCGATTCAACGGGCATATGGTCTCCAACGTTGGTGAAACGAACTTCCTCTGCGACAACATGCACTGCCTTTTGGCGATTCTCAGAAGCAATTTTTTTTCTGCAGATATAGTTGACTAAACTACCAGATCGTCGTTTTCTACTGGAAAACCCACTGATCAGTCCTCTAGCGACAGAGACTCGAAATTCAAGATTGCTTAGTTTTGTCGCATTCTTATTTTGGCAATATAACAAGTATGCATTTGTTATACTTGTATCTAAAAGGAAAAAGAACATTCGGACCCACCATCTCCTACTTCTTCTGCCTACTGAATAGGTACTTTTTATCTGATCAAAGTGATCAACGCCTCCCATCCTTTTAGTATACTCCTTTATTGCTAACGGGCAGTTGATTTCTTGTTTTGTGCCGTCTTTCTGAGTCCGTAAGACAGTGGTTTTGCCAACTTTTGGATGGAATGCATTACTCAATAGGAGAACCTCTTTGGTATCTTGCCAAACTAAGAAAGATACATTTCCCTTGACTCTCCATTTATATTGTCCTTTTGCAAGCTTCTGATTCGTTTTTACAAGTACAGGCAGATGTTTTCTGTGTCTTCGTACAGTTCCTGTAGCATAAATGCCATTTTCATATAGATATTGCATTAGAGTGTAGTCACAGAAGAAATTGTCAAATGTAATAATAATATGATATTCCTCCAGTGCTTTATTTATCAGCTTTTCAGTCAACATCTTCACAACTTTGGATCCTAGTCCTTCCTCTGTTCCGGTTTTTGATTTTCCAGTGTATATGTAGAATTCATAGAGATACCCAGTTTTACTGTCACAGCGACACCATACCTTGTAACCTCTTTTTATGGGCTTTAGAGGCATATACTGTTTCATGGAAGACCGGCCTTTGAAGAGAATCATCGATTCATCAATACTTTGGGATGAGGAGTCTTTGGCATTTTTCTGACATGCCTGAGTGATAAGATCCAATAATGGGCGTATTTTGTAAAGTTTGTCATAGTTCTCGCTTGTCTTATCTGGTATCTGTGTATTATCATTCACGTGCAGATTTCGCAATATCTTCTTGAATCGCTTTACGGTCATAGTCTCTGCTATTTCATCTACCCTGAAACCAGGGTCGGAAGACCAATAAAGGTCAATAGAAGGCAGAATATTGTATCCCATTATTATAAAAATCCCTACAAAGGCCTTCAGTTCTTTTTTATCTAATTGTGTCCATCCTTCATCTTTCCTTTGCTCTGCATATAAGTTTGTTTGATATATTATCAAATCGTAGACTTCATCAGTGAAGAATTTTTCAAATACAGTTACAGGTCTAGTACGGCTGCTAAACATAATTGCCGGTTCCATCGGAATTTCATCGTAAACGCTAGGACTTGGCCGATCAGTTGTCCACATAGTTTTTTCCATGTTTCCTCTTCGCCGTCTGAATCATCTGTTTCCGAATCTGAGTTAGTATTTGCTACTGGTGATTGTGGTTGTCGCCGTAAGGTCTGTTGAGTGCCAGAAGTACTGGGTGCATTTTGGATTATTCTTGCCCGCCTAAGCCGGTCACTGTTGGTTGGTTGAGGTGATGGACTAGGTTGGTTTTCAACAGACGCATTACTTATATTACTAATAAGACTATCAGGTGGATCAGGTGTGGGTGCTAGAATTCCATCATGAGGCTCATCAAGGCTCTCTAAAATTCTTTGAAGTTTCACTGTACTGTACTGCACATCTTCTTCATCGGATTCCAAATTATCATCTGACACATCGGGATCATCAGGTAAACCAAAAATCTCTTCTAATGCACAAGCTATTTCCAAGTCATTCAGTGCCTTTTCATTCATTTTCAAAATATAAATCTGTAACAACCAATACATACTGTCAGCTCCACGGGCAAAGGGAACATTTTTACCACCACAAAAAGCCCCTACTAACAAAATCTGCAAAATGTAGAATTGAAAATATGCTTGAATATCAATGAAATATACAATAAGCTTTAGAAATAATAACAACTTACCGTTCATGAGTCGCAGATATAAAAGATTTATAAAGATTTTAGAAGTCGTACCGAAACACACCCGATTTCAGTCTTCCAAACGTCACAGTGTAAAATCTAAAATGGCGACGTGTCATTACCATAGATGAAAAATGTTGACCGGATATCCATAAAAATGTTGCCAATAGGAAAAAATCTTTCCCTAAAATTTGCTTAACTAATAATGTGAAAATTAGTGGTGGGAAATATATTCCCGCTGCCTTAAAAAGGGTTAATTAATTAATGATGGATAATACGGAGTAACGGTTGTTTGATTTCGGAAGTAATTGGTGTTCCTATCTAGTTCCAGCACATAGATGACTAAACAGTCAGTAATTCATTCTTGGGGCAATGTATACGCCCCAAGAATGAATTACTACACATATATATGTAGGAAGGTAGTCAAATAGAATTAATTTACAATTACAAAATACACGGATTATCTGTTATAATCAACTATAAATTGTACTGATACTAATTTAATAGCTTAGAATAATAATTAATTCGTTTCTACGAATTAATTATCCGAATAGTCGAAGATGAGCAAGCGGCATACAACAAGTGCACGGTGCCACGCCAGCACAGAACACTATTACTCCTATCGGAGAAGAATGACAACTTCATACAAAATTTAAGAAATGCTATACAACCACTAGCTCTATCTATCGTCAGCCTCCTGCACTTCTCGTGTGGCGGGAAATTTGAACGTGGTCTTTTTTGGTTTTTTTTATTTGAGGCATTTTTGGGTTGCCTATCCCAGCGCTAAATAAAAGAACAAAATTACAAAATTTCTATTTATTTATTCAAAACAAAAATAAAAAAACATACATAACTTAAGACAAAATTTCTCCAGCAGCTTAGTTCTTTCTATAAAGACATTTGATGGGTTTAAACATGAAAAGAAAATCAATATTGATTACAACATTTCAATTACTTAAGTAAACAATATATATAAGATTTACAATCATGGATGAATTGATAATATGCACAATCACAAATCACAGAATGTCTACAATAACCCAAATGTCAATATTTTAATCAAAAACAAGTTAATTAATAAATAATCTCCTACACACAAGTGCAAAATTCACAAATAATAATTTTGTTTTGATAATATTTGGTTCTCCATCTATTTTTTTTATAGGATAGGGTGACAAACGAGCACACAGTCCACCTGATGGTAAGTGGTTGCTGTGGCCCATAGACATCCACATCTATCCTCGATTACGAATCAAAATGCAGATGCGTTCACCCGTGAGGACTAAGATGGAATGCCCCGTTTCCAGTAAAAAGGGTCTCCAGTTCTCTACACTCACCATACGAAATACAGCAGCATTAAGCTACTATTTCTCACTGGTATTCTGTGAGAGCGTGGTCCTTCCCCGGTCGAGCCGACCCATTCGTGCTACAACTATACTTCTAATATAACTGCAGCATGGCTCTACCACATATAAAATTTCCCTGAATTGACACTAAAAATTTTGTCTCTATATTATATGCAATATATTAAATATTGAATGAGCTTATAAATAGAATAATTTTAATTCAAAATTATAAAACGTATTAAATATTAGATTACAAAAATATTCCTTATATAATTTTAAAAAATTTCATATAGAGTACTTTCTTTTCACCAGGTTCAACGTTATCTGTTATGCTTTGATGTTTGTGGTTGTTCTTCAGTGGATATAATGTTGTCCTTTTTGAAGATCCTGCTTGTAGTTTTGCAGCAATAATTTGTGAGGAGCCGGCTTGTGATTCCACAAAATAAAATGGGAATACACTTTGTTAGTCTGGAAATAAATAAAAACTGAAATAAATTATAGTATCATAAAATTATTATATAAAATTAAATTAACATTATATTCACTGACATTACTTTCACAGTAAACCAGTCCCTGCTCGCGGCGCTACATTACCCTTCTACCAATACAAAATAAATGAATGGATCTTGTTCATCCAACTTGCTCTATAATACAACCACTATTACAATTAATATAACAAAATAAGATAGTAAATACAATAACTATGTGAAAAGAAGTCTAGTATTTATCTATTGTTTGAGAACCATTCGATGCATGTATTTCTACTGTGTTGTACAAGTTGTGCCTTTAAATTTGATAGGTTTAGGACGAAATGTAATTATTCATAGATTGTGATGCTTAAACTTTCTTCAGGTTTGTTGTTGTTTTAAAAAAAATATTTGATTGTTAAAAATATTTATGCAGTGTGTTGCACTTTTAATAATGTAAGGAAGGGCTTGTGCTAACTTTATTGAGTTATAGACTTCAATCCTTTGGATGCCTTGTCCGTCCAATTATTATAAATTAGTTTAAAGCATTCACAGGATACAAACTACTGTATGTGGTCTGCCTCCATGTTAGATCCAGATGATGGTCATATGAATAATCATCATCATCTTCATTACTGTCTATCAAAGTCCACTCCTGAATATAGTAATCCCCATATAAAATATCTGAGTAATCCTTAAAGAAAACTATATACATACCATATTACCATATACATTATACACTTTACTTACATCACATGGGAATGCAGTTCTTAAGAGCTTTTTCTTGATTGCATCATTAAATTAACCATCATGAAAATGTTTTTCACACAGCATTCTGGGCTTATTATGTAGCTTTGTCTGGAAAGCTGAAGTAGTATACTGCTCTTGGGAAGGAATATAATATTTCGCCCACAATTTACAGCTGAAAACAAAAGATATAATTATTAAATACAAATATTATCAAAGTAGGTCTAATGGTTTACAAACCCATAATTTGTTTTTAAATGGTTAACGAGAAACAATAAGTTGTACAAGAGATTTACTAGGTTTATTAGGTTAGAACTTATTAAATAGTGTATATGTATATTGTATACGTACCGCCAAATATACTTTACTGCGGGTTTCGGAAACCTAAATAATTTAATGTGGTCAATGGTTGGTAAGCTGTTGCACTTAGAACACTTTTTCTATTTTCTTTATCCGCCATTGCAGCGTAGTTTTTAGAGTCACTATTTCGTATTTCACTACGAATCATTGACTAACACATTGCACATCATATAAACGAAGGACATTAATCTCAACTCAGCATCGTAAACTTGCAAAATCTTAGAAAAAGACACAAGCGAAACAAACATAACAACTAATCATGAACAACAATAATTTATTCGGCGGCGCCATATTATGAGAAATGAGAATTATATACTCATTTAGATATTTTGGTGTTACCAGTAAAAAATATAATTTTCTACTCATTGAAAATCAAAACAAAAAGAAAACATTTATTTTTCTTTTACTGTCAAGGATATGCTAATATAATAATGTAGAAAAATACGACAGGCATAGTTATCTTCCTATGGATTTTCTATACTCAAAATTTTTGAGTGTAATTTATCTTTAGAAAAATCTTACTAATTATAAAACAAGACATTTATCTGACAAATGGCAATAATAAAATTCAGCCCCCGTAGGTATTTCATTCTGTCCATACAGAGTTGACTGGGCCTGCACGCCAGCGCCAAGACTCCCTGCTCCGTTACAAAACAAGCCGAGAAGTGGACCGGTGGGGTAACAGAGCGACGCGCCGGGCGGTGCTATTGGTGCACGTGTTCTTTACAATTTCGCTGTACCGACGTACGACGGCGCCGTCATCATGCTGTCATATTTATATTACAACAAAGTCTCAGAAAATATACAAGGTCTCTCTATTGCCAAGTTTAAATATTTAACTAAACAAAAACTGTATAAAAAGGGTTAATGTGATATAAATGTATACATGGTTGATAATAACCCCTGGGAATGAGGTGGTCGCTTCCAAGCTGTTTCTAAAATAAATTTTGTAAATATTTTGTGACCATCGACATTGTAAAAGGAGACAATCAATTTTTGTATGGAGAATGGGCCCACCACAAACTTTAGCGGCTATTAATAAAATGCATATCGATTTATTCCTTATAATCTATAGATTACAATAGTAATATTAATTTTACCGTATCATAACGGGAATACTAAGAAATTATAATTAAAATATGAATGACACAATAACCTAAAATCAACACTAAAAGCGATTGTCTAGTAGTCATGCGCAAAACAGTGCGTTTTAAAGTGATGTAATATGACATTACATTTCGTATCGAGGAATGTTGCATTACACCATGACTCCAAACATGACGCGAAATAACGTGCTAGTGCCACACACGATGGCCATTGTTATGAAATGCTCGCGTGGTAGTAGAAGATATACATAATTTCAATGAGATACCGCGTTATATTATCATGATGTGACATGAGAATCGTAAAACGAAATGCGCCCTCGCTACGCCGGAATGTACCTACACTTTTTTTTGCTATACATAAAGTCGATTTTCCTTCATACTTAACCCCAACCTACGGAATCAAAGGGGCATTCCAGGCTTAGGACGCAATAAACATGGATTGCAATATTGATTATTGACCAAGTCTATGAATATTCGCGTATTTAAAAATCGATTTCATATATACAATAATTGTCTTTTTTTTTGTGTTTTCTTTTTATATTTTTATTACATGGTATTTACATTTTAATTACAGCTAATAAATATTAATTGTGATAGTTTTTTTTTGTTTTAAGACGTGTCCGTCTTTCATTTAGTGTTAGACCCGCCTTCGAAAACACACTCTTGTACGGTACGGATGTAGTCGTGACGTTCAGGCGTTTTAACATATATTTGTATTGTCGTGTAGTGCTCCCACGTTAATATACTTTAGTGTTAAGGTAGAAAAATGAAGCAGTCTAATTAAAGTTTTAGTACACACGTCTCCTTCCTTGACAGCTTTCCTATATTACATGGCAACCCTGCCAGGCGGTGCGCTGCGACAATGCATGCGCACCGCTGGGCCTAGTTAAAAGGTGGAAAGTAAAATACAAATACTACTAAATTACATAATGAATCGATTGATTAGTGAAACGATTGACAAAAAATATAACGGAATGGACGCAATACCGGATGTGACGAAAATTAAATAAATACGAATACCAAAAGAGGCCACAGTAATACTTATTTTGGAAACTGCCTGAAGAATTTAGACTGAAAATGTAACTGACACATTTGAAAAGGGAAAGAAATAGTTGTATTTTAGCGAGCAATACCCAGAAGGATGTGAAAATTGAGCCGAAAGGAATAAAGAAGAATTTAAGAGGTAACTTCGTACCTGTGTTATTTTTGATTCCATTTAAAACTTTAAATATTTGTGTTTTTTTAAGTTTTAAATTAATATTAATATAGAACTAAATAAATTATAATATTATTTTAAATTAATAATGTTATGTATTAAGTGTTCTGTATCTAACATATTATCAAGTTGAAATTATCAGATAATTCACGACACAGTTGATTTTCCAATATATTTATTACTATCTATAAAAAATGCATTGTTACAATACATTATTAAAAATTAAGTTACATTTTAAGCACTTATGTGGCATTTGTATTACGGCTTAAGACGATTTTATATTCACTTTTATTCTGTTATAGTTTTATATTATTTTATTGCATCTACAGACACAGGTCCTGTAAAATAAAAAATATATATAATGAAATAAAAAATATATTAAATAGATAATTTTTTTCTTAAATTTACTATGGTTTGTCATGAATGGCAGGAAGTCGATGGATGCAGGTGGCTCAGGACCGTGCTTTGTGGCATACCTTGGGGGAGGCCTATGTTCAGCAGTGGACTTGTAAAGGGCTGTAATGATGATGATGATGATGATGATGTCATGAATTAATTTCTCGTATTGTGAAGTTGAAATAACGCTGATATTTTATAGCAAAAGTAAAGCTGTTATTTTATAGCAAAAGTATTTAAAAAAAAGCTAATGCAGTTTGTGATGTAAAAGTAACATAAATATTAACAATGTAACTATTTCTAAACTTCTGTGTAAATTAAGGAAATGTTTAAAACTATCCTTTTAAGGTACATTTTACTTGCATTCATATTATAAAATATTGTAAAAGTTATTTTGAAATTAGGCGTGAATCACACCGTGTCATCCTTGTCCGATGTAATTACAAACTTTACTACTTTGGAATTTAAAACAAACTTGTCTCTAAAGATTTGCGGTGTTAGGATTACAATTAATTTATATAACGAGTGTCCAGTGGCAGATTTCAAACTTTGAACAGACTTAATTTTCGAACGAAACGTAGGAGAAGGGCGCGGAGGGGGTTGTTCGACGCGCAATCGATGCGGATTTTTTAGTAGCCATGGATCCGTGGAGTGGAGAGCACCGCGCTTTTGCCGTCGAGGTGTACTTTTCGAGTGGATTTTCGCTGTCTGAAGCCCGTCGTCGATTTAATAATCACTGCGGTATTCGTCGAGTTCGTGATGGACCATCAATCAACCTGATTCAGTCTTGGGTAGCAAGGTTTAGAGCAAAGGGATCAACAATAAATAGACCCAGATCAGGACCAACACCAACGGTAGCTACGGACGAAAATGTCGAACGTGTTATGGCTTCTGTGATTGAAAATCCTCGTTTATCACTTCGTGCACGTTCATCGATTTTGGGTATTAGTAAATCAACTTTACAGGTAATAATGCGAAAAAAACTTTAATTCCATCCTTATAAGATCCAAATCGTCCAAGATTTACTCGAATCTGACTTTGAATTAAGGAAAACTTACGCAGAGACGATGTTGTTGAGATTTAAAACTGCTACTCGGATGGGTAACATATTCTTCAGTGACGAAGCCCATTTCCATATCGGAGGATATGTAAATAAACAAAATTTTCGTTATTGGGATATTTCCAACCCGAGAAAATTGCATGAAGAGCCTTTACACAAACCAAAAGTCACAGTATGGTGTGCAATATCTGCGTCTGCCATATTTTTTTAGACTAGAATTACAGAATAGTCCATACTGTAACCGGAATACGTGGTTCCAGCAAGATGGGGCCACAGCTCACACTGCTAATGTGGCCATGAGTGCAGTGCGAGAGTTGTTTCCCGAAAAAATCATATCCCGTAACGGCACCATACCGTGGCCTCCCAGGTCACCAGACCTAAGTCCGTGTGACTTTTTCTTATGGGGATACTTAAAATCTATCGTTTACAAAACAAATCAGACCACTGTGACACAGCTGAAAGAAAACATACGAGCAGAAATCAGCAAGATTCCCCAGTCGCTTTGTATAAGAGTTTTCGAAAACATGCGTTCCAGACTCGAGGAGTGTGTTAGGGTCGATGGCCGCCATTTAGAAAACGTTGTTTTCAAAAAATAAAATCCGCCTTTATGTTCTTTATATTTTAATAAAAATACTTTGCATAAAACGTGTCGTTCTTTTTTTATAATTTTTCAAATTTTGAAATCTGCCACTGGACATCCTGTATATTATCATTATTATCCTGACTAACATAACAAAATGATTAACGATACGAATAAATAATATTGTAAATTTTCGTGAAAATCAAAACATAATTTTATGTTACAGATAATTATGCCTGATTATGTCGATTATACTACTGTGACTATGCATTTTTGCGTGCTAGATATGTCCTAGATTATAGTTTTCATAATGATATTAACCGTTTTTAGAATAATCTTAAGGATCTATTTTAAGAATTGATAAAAAAATATAGATAGCATATTTTTTTTATTCCTTTGTCGGTGGGAGGTGTAGTATAGTGCTCCCACGTTAATATACTTTAGTGTTAAGGTAGAATATTGAAGCAGTCTAATTAAAGTTTTAGTACCAACCACACGTCTCCTTCATTGACACCTTTCCTATATTACAGTATAATCGCAGATATACGGCTTGGCGTTCATTCCACCAAAGCAAAGGATTTTCAGTTCTTTTTATAATCGGTTCTTGAATGTATTTATCAAACTCCGCAATGCCGGCTGCAGTTGGATTTTGGGGGACGAAAACAGCAACTTCGGCGTCAATTTCATCCCAAACAGAACCAGATTCACATGTTTGAACAAGCTGTGGAGCTGGTACTTCGTGAACTGGGTCCATGGTTCGGTCTGAGCCAATTCTTGATTTTAAAGCTGTTGCAGCTCTCTCAAAATTGGAAGGGCTAGCGAAACCACTCTTTTTAAATCCAAAATATCCAAATCCAAAGTGGATCCAAAATAGTTGCCTCACACAAAATATAATTGTTTTCCACATCTCTAAACATATGCTGCATTTGCGATTTTAGGGCGCTATGTAGCCGCTCAACCTTTGCAACATTTTCTGCGGAGAATTTGCCAAGTGTACGGTTTATTATTTTGCAATATACAATATATTTTGACGCCGTCACATATGCTTCTCCACAGATTTCCACAGTAACCTCATAAAATTTTTTTAAAAGTTCTGTCGCTTTTTCAATTATCTTGCAGTCTTCTAGCAGTAAACTTAAATCTGGACGCATTATTGCTAAGGTGGCAATAAGGGCTTCTTTGATTCTTAGCAATCTCATGAGCATGTCATAGGTGGAATTCCACCTTGTAGCCACATCTTGTTTTAATTTCAATCGGGCTATTTGCATTTGTTCTTCTATCTCCGTTAATTTTTTTTTGCTGGATTACTTCTGTGAAAATATTCCACGATTCCTTTTACCCTGTTCACGGTTTCGGATATTTCGAGTATGCTTCATTGCACTACTAAATTGATAGTGTGAGTATAGCAAGATAATGAGCGCCAGCCACCTAGCCGAACAGCAGCCTGCACATTTGCAGCATTGTCACTAACGATCACATTGACGTTCCGATGTATGTTCCATTCTAAGAATTTAGCTTCTAGAAAGCTCTTAAGATTTTCACTAGTGTGCCTCTCCTCAAATTCAATACACCCTATCATAACTGTGCAGAGTTTGTTTATTTCTGTGTCAATGAAATGCGCGGTGATAGCAATGTACCCGTCGTTCACAATAGATGTCCAGGCGTCAGTTGTTATACAAATAGCTACCGCTTTTGCTATTTTCATTTTAACAGCTTCCATAACTTTATTGTATACCTTAGGAAGCAGACTTTCAGAGAGAGTCTTACGGGTCGGCAGCGTATACCCAGGATTTAACATTTCTATAAATTTTCGGAACTCCACTTCTTCTACCAATCTAAGGGCGTGGTAAACTTTAGCAATCATTCTCACTAATTGCTCATCAAGCTGTTGCATTCGGTTTATTGGAAGTGGTTTTTTTCTTACTGCGTAGTCTGTCATGGAGGGACCTGTCTGATGAATTTGCCTATTTGGCACTCTCAATTGTTCATTAATATTTGTCTGAACTTACGCTAAATCACTGCATGAGGGAACAGGCTCTATTGACATCTCACTGTCCACATTTATACTGGGAACAAATGTTAACTGTCTGCTACTGTTTATTTGAATTGTAGGATGGATGGTTTTCATATGTCGGCTCAGGCTTCCTATTGAGCCAGAAGAAATTGCCAATATTCGGGAGATGTAGCCACATTTCGCCTTTTTGCTGGAAACCACTTCTTCAAAGTGATAATCCAAAGGGCGCTACTTTTTCTTTTCGTCGCCATAATTAAACAAGATTCTTGATTTTCACAACACTAATGTTTGTACCTACCTAATAATTATAAACCTATTTATTTACAGTTAAAAGTTATTTACTTAAATATCACCCACCACCTTATTAATTATTAATTACAAAATCATACAAAATAACACAACACTCAATGTTTGTATTTGTTCCTTGTACCTTGATAAAAGTATTCTACTATTTGCCTAAACCGTATGGCGCGCGCGGTAAGCGTAACTGACTAACTGTCGTCGTAGCCATAGTGTCATAGAGTGCGAGAGTCATGATTTAAAACATCACGGAGACCAGTCAGTAAGTAAAATATAAACCTTATTATGTGAATGCTACGGTTCTAAATAATATTTCACTAATGACGCACAGAACCAGCAAACACAGCGAAAATTATCAAGATATGTAACACCGAGTACCATAGACTATACTGAAAATATGTAATATGAAAACCGAACAGCACAGCGGTGCGCGGCCCGCGCGCGTCATGTTTGAGTGTCATTTGTGTCATGCTTAATTTGGTCGAGTCATGTGTAATGCTACAGTACGCAGTCGGATTATATGACGCGCAATGCAACAATCGCATTACAGCGACAGCTTCTTTTACACGTATTGATTGATAGTGAGTATTCAGCCCAAATACCATTATAGTAACATGATTAAAGCCAAGATGAGTATGGGATAATATGTCCATTTATAATATTACCTACACACGCTATACCTATAGTAAGAAAGATGTTTTAAACTGGTTGTGCTAATGATAAAAAACACAAAGTATAATGCCACTGCCTAATAAATGCAGTTGTGGTGTTGAATTATACTTGGGTGTTTTGTAAATCATCATTTCCGAAGTAGAATATTAATAGTAGTACATACAGACAGATATGCACCGTGTTAAAACATTGTTTTAATATGTTTCGGTTGATTAGTAAGTACTTGTATATCTTAAATAACATTAAACCCAATATAACTGGGTAATAGCATACCCTTTTATGGCAAGTAAAATGTTTTAAACTGGCTGTTTAGTTAGAAAAAAATTAATATCACTGTAAACAAAGTAGAATAAACATGGTTGTGTGGGAACTTTGTTTGTATTGATTGATTGATTGGCATATCCTGGACATTATTTAAGTCTAGTAATGTAAACAATGATATAACATTTTTGTATTCCCGTATTGTATATTTTGTATTGTGATATGTATATATAAAGCTAGACATCTGAAACTGATTATGTAAGCATGTAAAAATTCACTGTATTTATTATAAATTGATCATCATCCTAAAGAAGTATATACAGAAAGGCGCAGTGTGTAAACCTTTTTTTAAAATGTGTTAACTGACTAGTTAATACACCCCTAATACTATTTAAGGTAAAAATACTAGGTAATATCTTGTTTATCTATGTCATAATACACTAATAAATTGTAAGGAAATAAGATGTTTGTTGTAAACCAAATATATTATAAACACTATTGGCGCCATCTACCCTTACCATTTGTAAAGCGCCATCTATGGTTCTCTTTCCTTTCATAAAATACTAACCTAACTGGAACAAACAGTTCACATAGAGAACCATAGATGGCGCTACATCTGTGTTGCTTACTTTATCGACACGGAAAGGCGGCCATTACATTACATTAATACATTACAATTAAAAAGGTCACAAAGGTGCGCGAGAGCAAATACATTTACCAAACCAAAACGTCTCCAGTGTTTCCTTCAGAACAAAGTATCAAACAAATTGGTGACCCCTGTGAAACGTGGAATCTGCGTGTGACGAAAGGCGACGCTGCCGGAAATCCGAAAACCGGCGCGAGGGCCGGACTGGATTTTGAACCACGTGCAAGCCAACCACAACGAAGAACACAACAACAAGACGCTGACTGATCCCAATTGCGCGGACTACAGCAAATTAACAAGAAGGAGCGGATTTAGGAACCGAGTGCCACGCCGCACAAACTACTTGGAGACATACATAACCTCAACGATGACCACGTGTAAATACTAACCTAACTGGAATAAACAGTTCACATAGAGAACCATAGATGGCGCTACATCTGTGCTGCTTACTTTATCGACACGGAAAGGCGGCCATTACATTACATTAACACATTACAATTAAAAAGGTCACAAAGGTGCGCGAGAGCAAATACATTTACCAAACCAAAACGTCTCCAGTGTTTCCTTCAGAACAAAGTACCAAACAAATTGGTGACCCCTGTGAAACGTGGAATCTGCGTGTGACGAAAGGCGACGCTGCCGGAAACCCGAAAACCGGCGCGAGGGCCGGACTGGATTTCGAACCACGTGCAAGCCAACCACAACGAAGAACACAACAACAAGACGCTGACTGATCCCAATTGCGCGGACTACAGCAAATTAACAAGAAGGAGCGGATTTAGGAACCGAGTGCCACGCCGCACAAACTACTTGGAAACATACATAACCTCAACGATGACCACGTGTAACCACGACCACACCTCAACGTGCTTCTAAAGGAGAGTGAGCTGGTTCCTTTTTTATTATTTTCCATTCCAATCCCTCTATCTTTCGTTCAATTACAATTTTAACCAATTTTTTATCCAATCATGGACGATATTCAACAACTTACACGCAGTAGAGCAGACCACAAGGGTAAACTTACCCAATTTACCAATTTTATCGACAACTTGTCAACACCACTCAATGCAGATGGTGTTATAAACCTTGAATTACGTATCGAAAATATAACAGCAACTTATGATAAGTTTGATTCAATTCAAACCGAATTAGAAAGCCTGTCCGAGGACACCGATAGTCAAATCCTCGAACGTGCCAAATTCGAGGAACCTTACTTCGAGAGCCTAGCCAGAGCCAAAGGGCTGGTTAAGGCCTTTAGTAACGAATATATTACACCTGAAGCCAAACCATCTCATAGTGAATGCATTGACTCAATAAAATTTCCCGAAATTGCATTACCCAGTTTTATTTATTTATTTATTTATTTAAAATTCATATACACAAGTGGTATATAGGCGGACTTAATGCCTAAGGCATTCTCTCCCAGTCTACCTTGGGATGATGCAGAGATAGAATGAAGTAGGTGTAATAAAAAGTTAATATGCGAATACTAAAATAAAATAACAAAAAAAAATTGTAATACATGGAAATAAAATACATAAGATATAAACGGTACATCGCAAAAAATAGATAAAATTATATTAATATTCATACACATATATGTATAAAATATATAATATACATAATTACAATAAGAACAATAAAAATATATATATATATATATACACATATAACATACATATATACAAATATATATATACATATATATACATATACATACATACACACACAAACATACATATATACACATATACATACACATACACATGTACAACCAGTGCGTGTTGCCAGTGATGACTTACGGATCAGAGACGTGGTCCTTCACTGCTGGCCGTATGAGGACGCTGGTTCTGCCAATGATGAGGATGATGATTCTGCCAATTTATTAAGTAAGTGTTCCCGAACCTTCATCTTGAACGCGTACCGATTGCTAGCCGTCCTGATTTCGAGAGGGAGTGCGTTCCAAAGGAGAATGGATTGAATGTGGAAAGAAGAATGAACCAGTCCAGAGCTATGGGATGGACAAGGGAGAAGAAGGTTGTTCGTAGAGCGGAGGTTTCTCTCATGACTAGCACTAAGCAACTGAAAGTGAGGAGATAAGTAGGTAGGGGAAGTTGGAGACATCAGGATAGAATAAAGGGTGGTGAGTGCACGCAAACTACGGCGTTGACGAATAGGTAACCATTTTAATTGAGATCGATACGTGGATACATGGTCATACTTTCGAAGATTGAAAATGAATCGAATGCAGTTATTCAGAAGACGGTCATATTTGTTGAGAAGGTCTGCATTCAGGTCGAAATAACACACATCACCATAGTCGATTAGGGGAAAAAATTAAACTCTGCACAAGCATTGTCTTAATTTCAGATGGTAGAAAATTTTTTAGGCGATAGAGAGAACGCAGGGTACCAGTGACTTTCTGGCTAACGGTCGTTGTTTGGGCTTTCCAACTCAAAGTAGAATCAATTAATAAACCTAGATCCTTCACAGTGGAACACAATTGAATCTCAGTACTATTAAAAAAGATAGGAGGTAGAGCTACTGTTTTCAATCTCTGGATCATCGGACGACTACCAATTATAATGGCCTGACACTTCGAAGGGTTGACCATTAGGCCAAACCTGTCAGACCAGTTCTTAATGTACTCAAGGTCCCTGTTAAGTGTGTCCACCGCTGTAGAAATATCGTCAATACTCGCTTGTGTGTACAATTGCAAGTCATCAGCATACAGATGATACGCAGACTGAAGGTTTTGAGTAATGAGATTAATAAATATAGAAAACAACAAAGGAGATAATATGCCGCCTTGAGGGACACCAGCATGTATGTCAAGCCAGCAAGATGATAGCTCATCGATGCGAACCGACTGCTGGCGCCCTCGAAGATATGATGAAAACCAATCCAGTGCTTCGGGTGAGATCATAGAAAGGGAAAGGATGGAAATTAGAATGTCATAACTAATGGTATTAAAGGCGTTCGAGAAGTCAACCAAAACCAACACAGTGACTTTAGTGTCCTCAATGCCTGCCCTAATATCACCAGT